ACATAACCCAGTTACGGGACAAGGAGTGAGTGTGTGTGTACATGTGTGAGCACATGCATCCAAAATTTTTTGGAAACAAACAGACAGAGATGAATGGGAGGAAAAGCAGTGGAGAGAGTGAGTGAGACTGTAAAAATAAAGGTCAGTGGAAGAGAGAGAGAGAACAGGAATGAGGTGAATGGAATTGGAGAGGGAACAGAGGAAGGAGCAGATTAGTGAGCACTGGCATGTGAAAGAGAAGATCAAGACCTCTCTGCCTGTCTTTTAACATGATGTGTAAACACACTTCACATCTGTATTCTTATTTTTTGAGTTGGAGGGAAACAGGGTGAAAGACAGGCTATTGTCCCCGGGGACAGTATCAGCTCTTTGTTCAGCTCGCCTGACACTGGTGTCACTGTCACCAGAGAGAAGAAGAGATAGAAGAGGAAAAGAAGAGAGGGAGAGAGGGAGAGAGAAGGAGGATTTTTGTGTCAGGAAGGGAGCACACAGTGACAGTAAATTCAAATTTCAAAACATTGTCATCAGCAGCATTTTATTTCCATCTGCCTCTAAGGTCAGGTCACTCCCTGAATCCTGAAACCGTCCTGCTCAGCTGAAGGTAATGAATACAAGCATGAAACTGAGAACAAAGCTGGATCAACAACAAAAAGAGGAGAAATATGCTGATTCCATGTGATCCTTCAGGTCATATTACAGGCCACATTCCAGGTTTTGGAATGGAGATTCGTATGTATTTACACCAGTCTATGGACCTTGAAAATGATTTGAAAAGATATTCGGAAACAGCAGTTGGCAAAACAATAGCACAATTATGTAAGCTCCGAGAAGAGACGACGGTAAGTCCGTTTTAAAGATCTTGCTACATGTTTTTCCTGATCAGATGTCAGATGAACATTGGACTCAGTGGCAGATCTATAGATTGTTTTTTGTTTTTTTTGCAGAGGCAAAGATATACAGTACCATGAGATTCCAGAAGGGGGCTAGATGTTATTGTTTCATTTAAGGTTATTGTTTGTTGTTGGACATAATTTTATGCATTTCGTTGACTTGTGTATGCATAGAAATTACAGAATTAATAATACAAAACAGTTTCAGCTTATTTTAGTCAGGGAATAACACTGCACCAGTGATTAACCAGTGATTTCCTGGTACTAGTTACTAGTCCACAGTGTGGCTTGGATGAGTTGAAAGTTCCTGTAGCCTGCAGAAGTAGAGTAGCCTGTTTTTCCCACAGACATCTTTCCATTCACAAAAGCTGTTGAAACCAGAGAAGCACTCAGAGAAGAGCGTTCCTCTGTGGATTCAGTGATAGCAATGCTATAAATGTGTGCTAGATTTAACTATCATAGTAAAGACTTTTTTGGTTTTCCAAAGAAAGTCAAAGTTCACAAGACTTATAACCATTTTGGTTTCTTTTTTTCCTTCTTTCTTTCTTTTTTTTAATTAACTGGTAGTTAAGCTTTGTATATTGAAAAGTTTTTACCCTTCAAAAAAAACCCATCATTATTCTGATTTACTAGAATAAACTTTTCTAAGACACAGGAGCCTCTTTACTGTTGTCTGTGCTATTTTGGTTTCACACATCATGCTTTGTGTTTGTTTTGTGAAAACCCAGCAAAACGAATTTATGCTGATTTCAATACCGCGAAGAAACAAACCATCTAAAAATTTACATAAGGATTTTCACTCAAATTGCTCATATTCTCAAAGCGCTGAAAGATGGAATTTAACGACAGCGGGTGGAATAAAGGGAGAGATGCAACCAGAAGTCAGATTAAGGGAGGGAAGAGTGGAAATACCTCCTGATCCCTGTGCATATGTCGTGCCACCGCTTATGCATGTTGATCTGATGGAGGGGCAGATGGATGTGTTCGAATGTTTTTAACATGTTTACATACATCACAGCAGTTTGAATCAGAGAGGTGTCTCACTGCAACGGGATCAACCCAGGGATAATCTCCTGCCAACACTGGAAAATTCTGCTGAAATCACTGAAGGTGGAGTTGTGGAGGGAACAAACTGGAGGACAGAAATAAAAAGGATAAAATGAAAAAATAAATAGGTCTAGTTTCAGGGATTTTGTAAACTGCAGTTATTCAAAATAGCTACAGATTAGCAAAAAATGACCTACAAAAGCTAGAGGTTTGGCATAAAATACAAAGCTGTAAATATACAATAAGATACAGTATCTTGAATAGCAACTGTTCTACATAAATACTACAAATGTCACTAAACGTAAAATGTGGTCCCACAGGAAATATCCCCTAAATCTGTTTGACCTGCACACACAGGGTCTGTATGAGGAAGCAGCTCTAACCTCAATCTAAGGTGGACGTTCGGCCTGTGAACCACAGGTCCTGGTTGGCTTCTGTTGGGCGGGTCAGAGAGTTTGACTGACATGTGCCCTGACTCAGTCTGGCTTCCAGGAACTCTGCTCTATCAATGCATATCATCATCACCAGCTGCCAAGCTTGTGTGTGTGTGTGTGTCTGCATGTGTGTGTGTGTGAGTGTATGTTTTTCTAAGTGTACTTCCTGCATCAGTGCGGTACAAAGTCTGTCTCTCTTTGAAATCACATGGTCCAGCTTTTCCCCTGCGTGCCTGCTGCTTGGCCTATTTCCATGGTAACTAGCCCGGGATGCGGACAAACACACGCACTAACTCGCACGAAAACTCAGGCAAAATGTTTCCAAAAGTCCTGCGTCGGTTTGGATTTGTTGGCTGAATGTAAATTCTGTATTTAGATAGAAATATAAAATAAATATAACATAGATGGATGGATGGATGGATTGGATGGATGGACGGTTGCAGTCTCACAGTTGTGTAACACATTCCTTCATATTCTCTGTGGTCGACTTGTCACAGTGTCCCCACCACCTTCGTCCGTTGCCCAGTTCACTCCCACCCTCACCACCCCAAACCTGCGTGCCTATCACCATGGTAACAGGCCATGCCATTTGCTCTTTATTTACTCTGTGCCCTTTCGCCAAAAGGGGTGCTGTGGCGACAACGCACCCTGACAATCAGACAATGGGAGCTCTGCCAAAGTGGTTGAAGCTATAGGGGAGAGGATGAAGGGAGAGGGGAGGAGGAGGAAGGGTTGTGGAGAGTGGCACTGCGGATTTGTCTGCTACTGCCCTATGGTGTTATGCAACTTCATGCAAACACCCACGCGCACACACACTGTTTGGCGACAGAACACACACACACACACACACAGACTAACACACATATGGACCACAAAGCTCTTCATCTAATCAATCTGCAGTCATTTTTTAACTCAGAAAAACATGACCAGTCAGAGCTTTAGCTGAATTTTATTTTAACTCAGATCATCACCTTAACCTGATCTTATCCACACTGAGGAGGTTCTGCTTCATTAAGGCCCGGGTGTGTGTACCATCAGTACTGCCGGGCCTATAAAAAATTAGAGGTAAACCACCTGCATCGTTTGGTCAATTGTGATCACCTCAGGGTTAGCTTAAATTTTTTAAACGGAGCAAACACTAGCAAAAATAAATAAATAAATAATCCAAAATGTAGCCTTGAAATTGCCAAAAACTCATTCGTGTTCATTTTTCTGCAGGTTCCTGTGTTGCTCTGCGACGGGAGCAGATGGCATCTGTATGTGGAGTTTGCATGTTGGCCTGCAGCAGCAGTGTGTTGGTTGTGACTCTGGTGTTCATCCACAGTCCAAAAACATGTAGATTTGTACAACGGTCAGTCTAGGTTGACCATGAGTGAATAAATGAACACATAATTCCTGCAGGTTTCTCCTTTTTTTGTGTAGACTAACACCTCGACAAAAAGCTCCATTTATCCCTTTGTCCACTGTGGAGTTCTCAGTGGACAGTGTTGGCATTGGAGGGGTCTGCGGGCCACTGTTTGCACAGCTTGTCCCTCTGATAACATATACAGGAAGATTGCATCATGTGTGTGGTTCTCCTCTTGACAAAAGCAAACTCAGCTCGATGACTTAATCGGAATAAAAAAAAACGACAACAAAAAAACCCCAAACAGTTTTAAGTTACAAACCCATGGTGTGACCACTGAAGGATGTTCTTACTGTTCTAACTGCTGCCTGTCTTTGTGGTTTACAGGCAAAGTTAAAACACAGAGAGAATCAAAGGAGTCTCCTGATGGCAGAAACGCTGCCTAATGCTCATTCATTGGACAGCATCAGCCAGAGGACGGCTTGGACACACACTCATGTCCTTACACATGGACCGCTGAGTCAAAGGAGTTAAGAGAAGAAAACAACAAAGAAGAAGCTCCATCAAGTGGAGGAAGGGGTGTATGGGTACCAAATCCCCCTTCTACACACACCGCACCTCCTCGTCCTACCACCGCAACCTCCTCTGCCCTCCTTTCATTTCCGTCTCCTCTGCCTTTCTCTCATTCTCCGTCTTTCTCTCTCATGGGAGTGACATAGAGGCCGTCCCTTTCTCCGCTGCCCCGCCCCTTCACCACCCCCCCTTCAAACCGGGGGCGTCCAGGTAGTGATGTCGTGGAAGAGGAACTATTTTGCATCGGGTGGTGGAGCAGTAGGTGGGGTGCAGGGGCTGGTGACCCCGAGAACCATGACCTCTATTGCACCCAGCAAAGGTCTGAGCAATGAGCCGGGACAGAACAGCTGCTTCCTAAACAGCGCTTTGCAGGTCAGTGACACACACGCACACACACACGCACACACAGGTCCAGTCACACTCACAATGTACAAAGTGATGGTGTTATTTAAAGGATTTTTTATGTAAAAGTACATTTGTTTGTTTCCTCTATGCTTTGTCAAGTGCTCTTATATAACACAACCTTAACCTGAACCTTTGTCAGTCCAATATATATGTACACATAAATAACACACACACACACACAGCAATTTCTTTATATACTGTTTATTAACTTCTCTTTGTATAAGTTTGGGGATTTGGTAGATACTTTTATAATAATATAGAATAGTGGTTCTCAAACTGTGGTACTCGTTTTCTCAGGTGGTACAGAGTATAAAAAGTTTTAGAACCACTGATATAGATTATATGGATAATGTAGATAATAATAATAGATATTTCCAGTTTTAAGACACACAGAAAAAGGCTATTTATGAAGGTCAAAGGTTAAACAACCTGTCAAATCTTGCCATGTAGTTTGCCTCAAGAATTGATTATTTTATTTCAGCACTACAGGACTATAAAAAGAAACATGACATTTACCTTCACACGATCAGTCGGCATCAGCTGTATCACAGCAAAATGAAATGTGCTGCTGCAGGTTGGGACTAAACTGCTGTCAATAGTACCATCCAGTCCTCATAACCCAGTACTGGGTCATACCCTGTGGTTAAATAGTCCGCCGCCTGGGGTTTATCTACATTTTTTTCTACATTTTTGCACCACTGTACTGTATGACTGTAAAAATATATAACACACCAAACTCTTATGGAGGTGAAAAAGCTTCAAACTAAGTGTGGAAAAGTTTGAAATTGACCTGGAAAGGAGTGCATTAGCTCTGCATGGAGCCGTTTAGCTCGGCCAAGTAATTTATCTGACCTTAATTCACAGCCTCACATCAAAACCTGTTTCCAAAAAGGGAGAGGAAAAGTGTGACCCTGCTTTAATGACTATGAATAATTTAGGAGTTTTTCATTAGTGACTTTTTTTTTTTTGCTATGTAAACTGCAGTGTTGCAGAGCGAACACTTGCTGAAGAGGAAGCCACAGCCAAAAAAGAAGGGGCTGCAGTGCAGGCCACTACAGTAGAGGAGTCTGTGGATCAGAGGCTTGATGTAATGGCAGTATCTGGGTAGTAGAAAAAAAAAATCAAGCTAAAAGCTAAGAATTATCCCTAAATGATTATTCCAGTTTGCACAGATTAATTAATGATGAATGCAGTCTACTGTAGATTATAGTGGTGTTCACTTAATGGTAAGAACACGTTCACCACACCTCCCCCCTCCGCTCTCCCCTTCTCTTCACGTTGCAGTGTCTTAATGTGACGTGATGCCATTAGTAACATGTTAAAGGCTGCGTTGTTTCGGTTGAATTTTGGTCGCTGTGTGTCTTGATGCTTACACTGCGCTGCTGTTGCTGCTACTGCTGCATCTCTTCTTTCTCATTACACACACACACACACACACACACTCGTCACTCCTACCAAGACTTCCAGCTGGCACAATCATACCTCCACAGGCGCTTCTTGAATACCAGCTTGAAGAGAGGGAGAAGGGTTTGGAGTAAGCTGAGGAGGGAGGAATGTGATGGGACAGAGGATTATGGAGAGTAAAGAAAGAGCCGAGGAATAGATGAGAAGAAGAAGCAGAAGAGAAGTGGGATGAGGAGTATACAGTATGACAAATCTGAGGAGAGGAATAAAGAGGTTACCCCAGAGAGAAGGAGTGGAATCAGAGAGTCAAATAAGGTAAGAGAGGTGTCCGTCATAAAGGGAGGGAAACGATGAGGCGATGGAGAGAAAAAGTGGGAAGAGACGAATGAAAAGACAATGTGAAGGACATAGGAAGTTTATTTGTAAAGTGAAAAATGTCTATAAAAAAAGGAAAAAAGACAAAGCTGTTTGAAAGGGTAGAAAAGTGGGCCGACTCAAGGACACGTAGACAAGGAGGAAAGGAGGTGTTGAAAGGACACTAGTAAGGATGGGCTGGAGCCATGTTCAGTATTGACATGTTGTTTGGCGGCTGCAGTGGTTTTCTGTGTGCACGTGTCTGTGTCGCCTGATGCCGTGCGTGATTAGAGACAAGTTGTGGGGTCAAAGTTTGACAGGCTTTCTTAGGCATGTCAGAGCCACAAATGCATCATTAATCTAACCTGAATTAATTTATTTGGTGTGAGAAATGTGGGAAAATGAAATGCTAAATGCTAAAGCAAAAAAAAAAAAAAAAAAAATGGGGTTCCAGGAAGGAAGATCACTTGCTTGTCTGACTACCGCTCTAAAAATCAGACGATAGACTTTAAGGAATACATACTGTAAGTGAAATAAACATCAGAAAGGAGCTCATTTTGTTTGCTGGATGTTAGTCAGAGCTCAGTGATTGGACGGTTCATCCACTCTCTCCTGCCTCTTTGCCCCGAGCCTCCTACTGTAACTGTCCCTGGGCTGCTGCAGTGGTCCTGCTGCGGTTGACGGCACCGTCAGCAGCAGCGCTTGCTGCTGTTGTTGTTTGTGAATGTGTGTAAATTAATGAGCGCAAAGCGGGGTGCTGCGAGATAAAGCACACACACACTTGCTCAGCAACATTTCGCTGTGTAAACGCAAGTAAAAATAAAAATGGAAATATGAAGACACAGACACATGTCGTCATTCACCAGACTTCACACACACAGAACTGCACACTCGCTCATGTGACATGTGTGGAGGGAAAAGAAAAAGTACACAGTAAAGATGCTTCACCCCAGTCAAAGTACCTACACGTACGCAACCAAGTGCTACAGTACAAGAACTATCTGCATTTCCATAAGAGTGGTATACTTGTCAAAACTAAAACGTTTGGTTTGGTTAATGCACTCAAACTTTTATCCAGTAGACCAGTCTGTCCTGCCTCCAGGTGATGCTGCTTTTGTACCCAGTTTTGCAACTTTCTTTCAGGGAACTGCCATATTTTTATTTGCATGATCTCTGCATTTTCAGTTTCATCTTTTCAATTGTTTCTGACGTGTGTTGCAGGAATTCATGTGTGGGTTTCTCATGTTTAACATTGATTAAAAAAAAAATAGAAGCGAAAATGTTTGTACAACTAAATGTCCAAGTGTACTTTAATATTTAATTTGAGCAGCATACAAATAATAATTCTAACAAACACTGATGCATTTTAACCATTTGTGTTTAGGCAGTGTGCCTCTCCAACTCAAAAAGTTTAAATAATATTCTGTGGTCGCAGCAGAGTTTTTAGGCATTAAAAAATTCGTTTATCCTGTTTAGAACCACTTTAAAGGGTGGTGGAAGGAGGTCTACTGACCTACACCTAGTCCACTAGACGTCCACATATAAAGAAAAACAATGACATGACTTCACTGTACTGTGATCATACTGTACCAGACGGATCTGCAGCTGGATCAAAGTCTGGCCCAAGTATTTTGTTGTAGCTCAGAACTTCTTGCCTGGCATTACATTTCCATGTCCTGCCACTAGGGAGTTTATTTGTTGGTTAACATTAGTTGTGTTGTTGCCTATGGGTTAAAAATGTTAAAGAGACCATTTTCATTTTTCTTCTTTTTTGTTTGGCTTTCCCACTGCTGCGTTGAATGATTTTCTACTTTAAGCTATAATTATACAACATATCTGTATATAAGGTAAATATAATAGTGTTATTAAATAAATACTTTATTTAGAAACAATTCAAAGTTGACTTTTCCTTGGGGAAACAACCTGGTAGCGTTTTCTCTGGTAACTTCTGAGTAGTGTTTTTAGGATTATACTGTACATACAGCAGCCTCGAGATAGAAATCAACCTTACTAACACAGGCTAACACAGGCCAGACATTTATCTAAAACCGAGAGGCCTATTAGCCTGGTTCATAGGAAACTCACTAATTCAACTACAGTACATGCAGATGCGTCCTTTGGTAAAACACATCACCCCCTGGTGGCCCAGAGATGTGTCAGTCAGTGTCATCTGTGGAAAATGAGCCAAAGTCTAATGCAAAGTAGAAGAGAAAGCTTCAGTAATCCTCCTCCACGTGCAAAATAACTGTGTTAATGCATACGATGCAGTGCGTTTGAACGCTGCACAACTTTAGTCTTAAGAATCACAGCACTTCGTCCTTGGCCATTTTTCATTATTGAATCTGGCCAACCTTGAATAAAGTTTCGACACCTCTGTGTTAGAGGAGACAGCAGCAGAGATTTTTTTTTTCAAAACTTTGGGCATTTAAAAAAAAAAAGAGACATCCCGTCCAATTCACTATACACACTGTAGATAGTCAATGATGAAACTGTTGAGAGCAGACGTGAAGGACAGAGTGAAGGTCAGGTTGGGATGAGAAGCAGGAAAATGCTGAGCTTCATCACTTTCAAGCTGCCTAAATTTGATGTCAGTTTTTTTATATTTTGTCGTTCGTCACAGAGAGAAAAGCCCAAATGTGAACTTTACACTGAATGATGGCAGAATTCAATTTTGTCTGCAGTCTCAGGGTTCTGCTTATTGAACATGCTGGCTCAGTGTCGCTGACCGAGCAGGGACACTTGAAAAGAACAAAGCCTGTGCTGAGCTGCTATGACACGTTAAATGATCTGCTGTAAAAAAAAACAGAAAAACAACTCTTTGACTGGCAGACAGAGAACTGAGGTCAAACGTTCAGAGGAAAATAAACAGCTCGAGGTGAAATCACAACATGCACAGAGATGAACGATGGAGCTGGAGGCGCTGCCATCACTGAGAGCACTGTAGATACAAACAATAGTGGTATTAGTCGTGCAGAGCAGATTAAGAGCGAGAGTGAGAGCTTGTCAGATTATATGAATCCCACCATTGTCTACACTGAATATAAATGGTGTCTTTTTGTTTGAATGTGATCAGAGTTCCTCGGAGGCATCTGACGCACTTTAGCTGACAGTCACGACTCCAGCGATCAGCCACAAATCACCAACTTCAGCAACATTTTGAATCGTAAACAACAGAGGCAGCGTCACTAATTCTCCGCAGGCTTTTACAATCCATCATTTTCACCGTAATCCATACGAAGACCAAGAGTATTTGTTCAGGGGCTCGTGTTGAAGCAATAAGAGTTTGAGTGAGTCACGACTGCAAAAGCTGCACCTGTACTACACACCCAGTATTTCTTATTCCAATCATTGATACACAACTGTGTACAGTTGGGTAACAGGACACTTTGGGGTCTTTTTTCTGAAAAATTCAACACTCAACATAAAAGTAATGCCTGTAATGTGATTAAAGGAAAGATGGAAGAGACTTTAAAGAACCAACTGAACTATGAAAGCAGTTTTAAAAATAAATGAAAACCTACAGTAAATGTGTCAGACATAAGTGAAAGTTAGTTCAACAACTTTTATGTCGTCGTGAAAATATCGTTCCATCATTCCTACTATTTCTACTGCTCTTTTACTCCTTCTGATCTAGCTGTAATCCAGGCTTTGGGAGCTTAGGGGTTGTCCTGGGATACTTTTCATGAAGGTTAAAGGTCACAATGTGACATTATTATACAACATTATTAAATAAATAAATAAATGCTACTACTGCACCCTGCAAATCCTCTGCAGGCTTTCTACCATAAAGTGGTATGTGTATTTGCCGTTAGCAAGCAAGTGACACATTTGTAGACCAGTGGGGGCAGTAAAGAGTCTAAAAGCCTTACTTGGGAAGGACAAACATGACGCTGCCTGTATATCTTCTTTCTATAAAAAGAAAAAAAAGTCTAGGACTTACGCTGAAATACCACTAATTTAATAAGCTGCACAATAAGATGTGACGTGGGTATTTGACAAGGACATTAACTGTAAACTCAGGGCTTCATTCATTATGTATTTGTCAAAACAAACAAGGAGACAGGACAGTTTTATTTGAGCGTATAGCCACCAATCAATACTCCCTGCCCTGAGATTATTGGCCTAGAATTATTATTCTAGGTGTCAATCAAAGTACACAGAAAACAAGGATGAAGTACTGCATTTCTCCCTGTCATTGTTTGATACCTCCTATGTACTTCCTTTCCACCAAATGTTGTGAGCAAAATAAAACAAACCAAAACAACAAAACAAGAAGAGAAAAGAGCAGGTGGGAGAGAGGGGGAGAGACAGGAAATGACACAAATGGAAGGAGAGTGGGGAAAGATGTGCAGTGATTTTATGGGAGGAGTGAGAGAGAGGCTTGGATAAATAGATAGATGGACGGTAATAAAGAGAGATGGGCATGGAGAGAGTGTGCCCTCCTGGTGGCTGCTGCAGTGCTGTGCAGGAGCCGATTCATCACGACCGAATAAACTACAGAGAGGGGAGGGGGAACGGGGGGGGGAAAACACATAGACCAGCGTCAGCATGCAGTCTGTCATCCTTCACCCTCTCCTTTCTCCAGCCATCACTCTGTGGCTAACACACACACACACACACTAACACACTTAATTGCTAAGGTGCTGGTTTTTTGTGTCTTTATCTATTTAGTTGGACGTTGAAAACTGTAAGTGTCTGCATAAATGAGTGTGTGTGTGTGTGTGTGAGAGAGAGAGAGAGAGAGAGAGAGTAGCCCTGTGAAGGAGTGCTGCATATTTCACTAGAAGCCTAAGGGACAATGCTATGTCAATATTATCTTTCAGTATTGTGAATGAATGAACTAAAAGCTCTTTCCTCTAATTATGCTCTGGTGAGAAAGTGTGTGCGAGTGTGTGTGTGTGTGTGTGTGTGTAAGAGAGAGAGAGAGAGGTGGAGTTTAGGTAGTGGAAGATGTTTATTTGGCTCTAACCTCTCTCTGAAATTACAGCAGTCCTAGCATGAAGGTTGGATTTCAAATTTGAGCATTGGCACTAAGTTTGGGTTTGGGGTGTGAATCTCTGGGCACCTTTGATTAGGAAGTTGAAATGACTGAAACTGGGAAATTAACACTATTCCGAAATTATTAAGCCAACACAACGTAAAAGTAGTAGTCGATTTCTAAACATATATTACAGTGGCTCTCAAACTGTGGTACGTGTACCACCAGTGGTACATGAGCGCTCTCTAGTGATACTTGGGTAAACTTCATATTTTCACATTTACATTTTCAACTGAATAAATCTGAAACATACCATGCACAATTAATACAACATTTAAACATAAACATCTTTCTAAGCATTTCTAAACATCTCTCCTGTGGTGGAAGCTAACGGGGAAGGCCTACGCTGCTATATGCTAATGTTGGTCATCATGGTGGTACTCAGAGAGCTCCATGTTTTCTCAGGTGGTACAGAGGAGAAAACATTGGAGAACCAGTGATATTTTACATAACCAAATTATTATGTCACATTCAGTTGTATTATTGCATGGAGCAGCACCTTCCTTTTGGTATTAGTTAGTCAGACAGTCACAGGAAGTCCTGTATTATATAAGGTGCATCACAGCTAATCCAGTGGAACCATGAGTGGGGTTCCAACAGGAAGCTGCAGTTTTCCCTCTCCTTATTACACGGCAGCTCCGTTACTTTCATCACGTACCTGAATGGAGAGTGAGCTTTTGCTGACAAGACAAAGTTCTGCTAACTTTCAGTTCAGCAACCAGTTTGAAATGTAAATCCTGCGGCTTGTTTGCGGCTGCATCACTTTTTAAGGAAGATATAAATATCTGATATGTGACATCCCTGATCTAGATATTGTATCTGGAGCAGCACCACATCACCAGTACCACATGGTGGAAGCTGCCGTCACCGTCAGCCGTGGCGTGACAGCTGCAGTGCATCAGGAATCCTGTTGTGTCACTGTGTGCTGTCATGTCTTCATTACCTCACTCTATGGCAGTGACATGACGAGCTATTGTGTACCCTGTGAATACTCTGTGTACTGGCTGTCTTTGTGTCTAGGAACACTCTTTGCTGAGGGTTTACTGCATTTTGACACATTAATCACATTTGACGAAGTATATACAGCTTCTTTACAGACAAACAGCCAAAGCTAAGAAGCTTTAGCCTTAGCTAAAACTAAGGTGGAGGTGAAACTGAATTTAATGTGGTTGGGACCACGCAGCAAAACACAGTCTCACTTAAGGCGATCCACAAACTGATTCACTTTTTATACCTAACCCACCATTTAAGAAACATTGCCTTTAATCCCCTTTAATCTCCCTGGAACTTTTTTTTTTTTGCTGATTTTTTTGCTTATTTCTGCATCTGTTTTGACTCAAAGGTTCTGTGGCATCTTGACATCTTCCGCCGAAGCTTTCGACAGCTGACGACGCACAAGTGCATGGAGGATTCATGTATCTTTTGCGCTCTGAAGGTAAGGACACACCCACTCTGTCACTGACCTGAAAACCTGATATGGAAGGGCGTGATGCTCTTTTTTTTTTTTTCTTGACCAGATTTACCTCACAGTGATGGAGTGTTTATTCAGTGTTACTCACTTTTGTTGACAAGATTTGTAACGGTGCAAAGATTCAACAAAGACTTTGGATAAAAAACTGAAAGGGCAGCGATAATAGCAAAGAAGATGAAAGGTTAAACTGGTTACTGGTCAGTGTGGTCTTTATCCACTCACACAAAGAGACTTGTGCCAACTAACCATGCTGATCGTCCTTAACTGGTGCATACTTTGTCCAAATAAATAACTGAATTGAATTTGGCATAAAAAAAATCTTTTAGTTTGTTCTCGGTTTTAGTTTAAAGGAGAGTAATTCAGCAGCTGCAGCTTCAACATCTGGGCTGAAATATAAACAGTTGAGCTTCAAGCAATAAGATAAAACACATCGAGCTGCTGACAGTGTTTCTGTTTCTGAATATGACCTAAACTAGCGCCTCTGCATATATTATAGTTCATTTTACGCTCATAATAACCACATTGGACAGTGTGACGAGCCGCTTCGACTCCCAGATTACACAGCAGTGTTAATGACTATTAGTAATCAAACAGCATCCAAAACAAAATAAAACCAGGATATAGCACAGCATAAAATGATAAGCACTTATAACGGTGAAAAATGAGCAGAAATAAAATAAAAATAAAAAAAACAAATCAAAAGAACGTCTGACATTTTAGTTTCACATCAGATGTGACAAATGGAAGAGGAAGAGTGGAAAGAGAAGCCTGCTGTGTGCTGCAGCTGCAGGTTGATGTCACAACACTCCACACGAGCGAATCGGCAGAAACGTTCATGTATTTAGATCTGAATGTTACTGCCTTCGTTGCAATGCTACATATCTAGTAAATGTCTACACAGTGGCAGTGGTGGCCACTGCTCTGATCCAGCCAGATCTTCACTTTGATCCCATGAATTAAAATCAAATAAAGAACCCCTGTGCTGAAGTCTAATAGATCTGATTTAAAAACTGGGATTTGTGATCAGATCTCTGTGTCCACAGAGTTCCAGAAAAGCAGCTCTAAGTCACTCCCAGTCAATACTATGGAATATATGATGCACAACTCTCTTCACACTTATCCCTACACACACCGGAATATATGATGCACAACTAACTGTGTTTTCATTCCCAAGACTAAAAATGAGTGTGTGTGCATTGTGTGACTGACACACAGCACTCTGTCCAAGCTTCTTCAAAAAACACAAAGTTACTTCTGGAACCAACAGAACCATTGACACCTGTGTCCAGTTCTTATACACAGTCTACTGTCCAGACAGATTGACTTGTTTGGTTCTCCCTGGGTTCTGCTCTGAACGAGGTCGATCTCTGCCTGTGATCTGCTGAGAACCAGCACCAGTGTAAAAGCTTTTCTAACACAGTTACAGGTTGAATGACTGTTGTCGTTCAGCAGCTACTGGGAGCTGAGCTGAAGATGAAGATGAAGATGTGTAACATCATGAAACCCTCATAATGAACGGACCTTATGCAGCTCTGCTTCAGCCATTTGTTGCATTAGTGATGGCAGATACTAGTCTGAGTGAGGGGAAGAGATGTGTATGTGTGTGTGTGTGTGTGTGTGTGTGTGCGCGCAGCAGTGTCGATGTGTGTGTTCCACTCGCTGTTCTGTCTAAAGCGCTTCTCCGTAATTAATTGGCTGAGTGAAAGCGCTGAGCCAGCAGAGCCCACGGTGGAGGGGTACCCACATGCACACACACATACACACACCTACATGTGCGCTCATGACCACACACATTAGCATGCACACAAATCTTAGCCTGCATGCTGGACATGTTATTGTGATTCACACACAACACACGGTGATGCTCGCAAATCTTTCTCAACGTGCTGGAGTCTCCTCACACACACACACACACACACATACACACACATACACACACACCCAGTAGCATATGGCCATTGTGTGTGGGTGTAGGAATTAAAAGTACTGTATATTTGCCAGGTTAACGATTAGCATTTCAGTTTTAGGAGTGCTTCTTCATTGGAAACGACCAGATGTAACAGTTCTTCTATAGTCTATAGTCTATAGTCTGTTTTTGTAGCTGTAGTTACCACGGCAACAGAGATTAACGCCCCTAAATAACCAGGGGAGGCAAACGGCAAATGAGCTTAAATGGAGAGTGAAATTTTCTAACATTTTTGAACAGAAACCAAAGGCTGAACGGCCATTTCAGGCTGTTTCGTTTCAGAGGGATGGCGTGTGTGAATTTCGGTTCATCTGCGGCAGATGACGAGTCGTGCTGTTGTAGGAAACAGAAGTTCAGAGGCTGCCTGTGGCCATCCCTCTAGAAATCACTGCAACACTTTGTCTCTCTCAACACATACCAACGCACACGGAGATGCTCGCACTGTACCTGAACACACACACACAAACACACACACACTTTGACACATCATGACAAACAAGAAGAAGGGGTGAAGGAGAAAGGAAGAAAACGGAAGGAAGGAGGGAGAGGAGCGATGAATGAATGTAGAAGTTGGTGTAGATTGCTCCTCTCTTCACACTTATCCCTACACACACAAACTCACACACACCTCCCCTTCTTACTCTCTCAGCCTCATCCCTCCCTGTTATCCTTTTCCCCTTCTCCTCCTCCTTCTCCTCCTCTCTCTCCTCTGCTCTACTCACCTCTTCACTCTCCCATCCCTCCTTCCTTCCCCACACTGTAGGGTATATTCCCCCTCCATTCTCCTTGGCGCATTGCTGCAGTCAGAGCACACACACACTCATTCGGTCGTGCACGCACACACACACACACGTGCACTCAACCTCTTGCTCAAACATTGCCTTCCTCTTCCTTTCTTTCTCTCTTTCACTCTCGCTCTTTCTCTCTCTCTCTCTCTCTCACACACACACACACACACACTACGTACTTGGTGTCAGCACAACTGCAATACCTTTCCTGTTGCCAACTCTTGTCTTGCAAGGATTGAACTGCACACACACACTTTTACACACAGTCCGAATCCCATTGTTTTATAACACTTGGACGTTGTACAACCACGGCCACCTCCGCACCCATCTCCACAGAACAGACTGTGGTTCAGTGACGTAGATACAGCACCTGTACGATGAAGTAAAAGACTGTTGTCACGCTGTAGTTTACAGGAAGATCAGGTTTTACCATAAGACTAATCTGTGTCTTATGAATGATGGGCTGTTACCTTCAAGGTAAGAGGATAAGAATAGGAATTTTGACAACCATGGAGTCAGACGTCCTTACTGTTTACAAGTATAACCCCCCCACTGTAGTGGTATATATACATACATACATATATATATATATATATATATATATATATATATATATATATATTTGTGTTAGTGTCTCTGATATATTATACTCACATGTCACTGATATTATTCAGTCATTAATATAAACAGGAGAAAATGCTTTGCTGAAATCTGGTGTGACTTTGAGTCAACATTGATTGTGTCACGGCGGAGTCACAAATCCTTCAGCTAAAAACACTGCATCTCATATCTCTAAATACACCCTGATATTCTTAGTTAATGAAATCCGTTAAAAAAAATTTCCAAGAGTTTCGTTCTTCACGCTGTTGAGGCAGCGCGTTTGATTGTAGCTCGGTGAAAATGCTAAATTGGAAGCAGCGTCAAATGGAACAAGCAGATGAGTCATATGTGCTGCTGATGTAACCCTATTGGAATCATGTTCTGTCACTTAATACTGTTTTTGAGTCCTTGGAACACAGAGTCCCCGCTGGGTTTCAGCTCAACCATTTAATCAGTGATTGAGTTACTGCTGGGCTGCAAGGCCAGGTGCCGCTCCGACACGTCACACTCACTCCTGTTTATTCCACAGTTTTGGGCCACTTCAGTGTTGGTCAAAAATAGTACCTCGGCTTTGGTCGTTCCAACTGAGAGTTGTCATCAACACAGAATGAGGTCATTTTTATCCGTTGGTAATGTGGGAGAAAATCAGTCATACCCAGAGTACTGTCCCATATCATAACTTATTAGTCCAAGTTTGTTCTTTCTAGCCTATGTTCACCAGTGCACAAGTTTGATGTTTTAGTCTAATAATCTCAAATATAGTGTTTAATGAGCAGGTGGATAATCTACTGTAGAGGTACTGAGGAGAAGAGTGATCTCTGTGAGTAAAAGCAAAACGAGGAGAGAAGTGTAGGTGGTTAATGAGAGTTAATGATGTTAAATAATCCACCAAGTATATAAGTATATACAGGACTGTCTCAGAAAATTAGAATATTGTGATAAAGTTCATTATTTTCTTTAATGCAATTAAAAAAACAAAAATGCCATACATCCTGGATTCATTACAAATCAACTGAAATATTGCAAGCCTTTTATTATTTTAATATTGCTGATTATGGCTTAGAGCTTGAGAAAACTCAAAAATCCTATCTCAAAAAATTAGAATATCACCAAAAAGTATACCAGTGGGCTAGTCAACCAATCACTTGAGTCGTCTAATTAACTCAAAACACCTGCAAGGGTTTCCTGAGCCTTTAAAAACACTCAGCTTGGTTCAGTAAATTAAATCACAAGTATGGGGAAGACTACTGATCTGACTGCTGTCCAGAGGACCATCATTGACACCCTCCATCAGGAGGGTAAGACACAAAAAGAAATTTGTCAAAAAGCAGGCTGTTCACAGAGTGCAGTTTCAAAGCACATTCATAAAAAGTCTGTTGGAAGGGGGAAATGTGGCAGGAAACGCTGCACAACCAAGAGAGATGACCGCAGCCTTAATGGCATTGTGAAGAAGAGCCGCTTTCACAATTTGGGGGAGCTTCAAAGACAGTGGGCTTGAAGCTACAGGTAAAGCTAATCCTTCTAAGTTCGACATACATTACTAACAAAAGATTGATATATATATAATAATATAATAACAATTTTTGTTGGATAAAAACAACTTTATGAACAAAGGTGGAAAATTAGCATACAAGAGAGAGAGGGAGAGAGAGCTAAAAGGAAAACTCCTAGCAGTCACCTGAGTGGTTGTAAATAGGTGGTCCTCTTCGGTGGTCTCTAAATGCTAAATACAGCCACACAGCACTCTGACAGTTGATTTGTTGGTAAAGGCACACAACAAACGCCATCTATTATTAATATGGGCTGATATTGAGGCCAGCTGTGCTGCGAGGCGTTTGTATTAGTCCACTCTGCGTAATGTTGTGTGACATCGTAGACCTGACAAGTTGACAACTAGCTCCACTGCCTCTGCTTTGTGGGTCAGTTGACGGCACACGGTGCCGATTAACAGGACTAATGTGCTCAAAGGGTTTGGTATCACACTGAGAGAATGATAAGGCTGAGAAAAATGACACAAATGTTCACATGTGCATGGCTGGACACTGAGTCCAACACTGCAGGCTGTAGGAAGGATGTATATTGCATATTAGTTGCAGTGGAAAAAAAATAAATAAAAATTCTGTGTGTGTGTGTGTGTCTGCAGAGTATCTTTGCTCAGTTCCAGTTCAGCAGTGAGCGTGTGCTGCCGTCAGATGCATTGCGGAGCGCTCTGGCCAAGACTTTTCAAGACGAACAACGCTTTCAACTGGGTATCATGGACGACGCCGCTGAGTGCTTTGTGAGTCTGTGGCACCGACTAACCACACACATACACACACACACACACACCAAGGGCCAAATAAACTGGCTTATTTGAGGAGGATCCAGAGCTGTGCTGCAGTCTGAACTCCTCTGGGTCTGCTGCCACTGTTTGTGTTTGCCTGTACACCATACTGTAACATGTTGGGTGTTGTTATCTCCTGTCATTGTGTCATCCTGCTGCCTTATAAACATGCAGGTATGTTTTAATCACATGTGACATTAACAACCAGTGGGTCTCCAATTTCAAATGTCAATAAAAAATAGAATTTTAATAGAACATTAGGATTTGTTCAATCAATTCTACCAGTTGTCCATTAATATTAACATTAGATGCAGTCAAATCTTAACTGTCCCTACGCCTATTAATCTTGGTTAATAACAACTCCTCAGTGGAGGCCTCAGTGATATCATTTAATTTTTGGAAAGTCATTTTTATTAAAAATATAAATCACATCAAATGACAAAAATCCTCACTAATTAAAATTGAAAAGTTGATGATATTATATTAATCTTCCAACAGGTATTAGCAGAGCTAATCAGGTAGATGTTCCAGTTAAAAGTTTCAGAAAAAGGACTGGAAGTGTTCAAATTTCAAATTCAGTTGAAGTCTTTTTGTCCTCTGCAGTTGAACTTATATTACTGACTAACTGAAGCTTGTTGGAAAGAACACGTCCTAATGGACTGGCCAAATGGTAGTGTTGTTACACAACAGGAAGTTTCCCAGTTCCTCCCATGTGTCATTTACACCGTCCAGACTTCTGCTCACGACCCAAGGACATTGAAAACCAAATTCAACATTTGTCCTTGTGTGAGGTGTGACTGGTAGGTGTCATGTTCACGATGTTCTCCTGTGTCTCACCTAATGTCATCTGGGATTGACTCCAGCCCCTACCTCAGCCTGCAGATGACGGGCAGGAGAGATAATGAATGGATTAATTGCAACGGAAAATGAGGAGAGTAAAAAAAAAAAGATCATTAGTCACACGATTTTACGTTTGAGATGTCGTCACGCTTGTCACGGCTGCCTTTCTCTCGACACCTGTTCTTCACACGCCTTCCTGTTGCTTTCAGCTCTTCACTCTCCCTCTCTCTCTCCCAGCTTCCTCTCTCTCTGCCTCTTTCTTCTCCTCTCTTAAAGACCTCCACAGTGTGTGTGTTTTATGTGTGTGCCTCAGACCTGCTGTCTGATCGATTGGCAGTAAATGTGTTCAGTCAGGGAATTCGTCGGCATCTTATGAAATATAGATGCTACTCCCACGCACAGATTAACAGGAGCCCCAACAGAGGGCAGCGATCAAACACTCAATACATGCCCACACACACTCTCTCTCACACACACACACTGTACATACAAATACAATATAAATAGGCCAACTAAGCACACAGCCTCCTAGACCCACATTAATACAGTACAAACACATTAATTGATGTCTGTTTGTTTCTCAGGAGAATCTCCTGATGCGGATCCACTTCCACATCAGCGCCGAGAGTCGAGAGGACATCTGCACGGCCAAACACTGTATACCGCACCAGAAGTTTGCTATGACTCTTTTCGAACAGGTACAAGGCCGTTATGTGGGTCATTTTGCTTTTGCAGCTTTTAATTAGGGAGAACAATATTTTTTCACAGCACACGACGAGCGGCTGTAATTATTCCCACCACTGTGTTTGTGTATGCAGTGTGTGTGTACCAGCTGTGGGGCCACATCAGACCCCCTGCCCTTCATTCAGATGGTCCATTACATCTCCACTACTTCCCTCTGGTAAGACCACACACACACACACACACATTAGTGCAACAACACAGACAGTGCTGTAATTCAGGCTACAAGCTGAGGCTAGGTAGCAGTACAGGAAGGTACAGCATGTTCTTTTGAGTTCCCTGCTGACAAACCCCACTGTAAGCTCTGTTACACACACACACACACACGCACACGCGCGCATACACACATTCGTAGGATGCACAAATGTGGATGTGTTCACCGAGAGGTGAATTAGTGCAAAATGTCCTCACCTGCTTTCAGGTAGTACACACACACACACACACACACACACACACAGTAGTTACATTAACATTAGCTCATCCTCAGAGCTGTTACATAAAAAGTGTCACATGCTCCGAGTCAATGAAATAAGGAACTGGGGAAGTAATCAATCAGTTGTTTGATTCAGTGGACCCATGGGGGCGACATAAGTCTATAAGCGGAACAGTGGGTCGGAAGCTCTGTGAATGAGAGGGAAATAAGAGGATATATCACGCCGTATGACTTCTGGAAAGGAAACAGAGCAGAGGAAATGATGGGTCGAACGGGGGGGGGCAAACATAGAAATAAACACAGTGTCAAAGTGGTTCCACGGTGCACATGTGTGTCATCGTCTGTTAGTAGGACTGCGCTATTTCTACCTCATCCAGATATGCTCAAGTCAACGTGAGTAAGACTTTTAGAGGAAAAAAAAACACAACAAAACTAATGTCTGCCTCATGATGATTCATGCATGAGTAAAACGTGGGTCGCAGCCGTGTTTTTCTGCCGTCCCACTTTAGGTTTTCTCGAGCGGGCGTCTAGAGAGGAGAGAAGGGTTGAACTCCAGAGAGGTTGAGTTCATTCCAGGCTAAAAAAAGGGGTGAGAGGAGGGGCAGGGGAGGACAGGAGGGAGGAGAGCTTTGGAGTTGGGTTTTCTAAAATCGTTAGGCTCACAGGAACACAAAACAATGCTGATTCATTGTACACCAAATCCCCTTACATGGTAAGGAAGTGCAGACAAACTGTCATAAAGTCATTTGGTATTCACAGACCATACTAACATGTGTTTGACTTTGTCCTTTGAAGGACATTCCTATCTGAACGGATGAGTGGGGCTCGGTTTGGCTCTGTCTCCGCTCTAAGCCCTGCCGTGGGACGCTCTCTCCAAAATAGTCTTATTTCTGGTGCAAATATTCCTCGTTGTAGATGAAGTCGTGCTTTAATAATACAGCAATAAAAATGTTTGTGTACTCTAACTGCTCTCCGCTGGGCAGTTGTCATAAACTCAAGGAAGCTTCTTCAGCTTGAGGAAGGTTAAAGATTATGATGAGAAAGGACTAAAGGTTTCCTGGTGGACGGCCAACTGTCCAGAGACTACGTTTGACACTGCTGGGACTTCTGGTCTTATCACAGTGACAAATCAGGAGAGCTAATTTTTTCGTCTTTGGTTTCTTTTTTGTTTGTTTTTGCAACCACTGCTTTGTTTCCTTTCTTTTATTAAAAAGGAAGAACCTGTGGTTCTGACTCTGGGTCTGTGTAGGTGTCTGTGTGTGTGTGTGTGTGTGTGTGGACAGTTGCCCAGAGCATTATTCAGAGGCCGACATAATTTGTAGACAATTGTTTTACTAATAGATGTTTTCTTACATCCACAAGAGCTTGTGCAAATTTGCACTTTTCTGCAAATAAATCTTTTAAGAACTTTGTGTTTTAGTTGTTGCTGATGTTGTTGTTGTGGTCCTTGTTTTATCTCTCTGTGTTTGTGTGTCTGACACTGCAGCAACCAGGCAGTAAAGATGCTGGAGTGCAGAGACAAACCCACACCCGACATGTTTGGGGAATTGCTTCGCAACGCCAGCAACATGGGAGACCTGCGCAACTGTCCGGTGAGAGCACACACACACACACACACACACACGCACTGATCAGTGGACAGGCCTCTGTTTTCTTCACGTTATTTCCTGATGTATAAATCCGAACAAAATAAGAATATTATAATCGTCTGTATATATTTAGTAGTGTCATCATGTCCATGTCTGTTCCTCAAATTTCCCGCTTGTTTGCATTTTCTTCTAGCTCTTCTCACCTTTCCTAATGTAAAAATGCCTTTTGAACAAAAAGTGCTGAGACTATATCCTTTCAAGTCATCACACTCCATTAAAAAATATATATTATTTGACTTGTTTATTTGCTCTTAAATGCTGACGTTGATGATGAAGTAGGATTAAGGAAAGAGTAAATGAAACAGAAACGGAGAAGGAGCTGTTGAGGGGAAGACCTTGGTAGGACTGTGCTGCTGTCCAAACCGGCCACATCTGTCCACTCTGCTCTTCACGAGCGTCCACCTAAAGCACCTCCTCCCCGGGCGCCGTGGTGCAGCGCCACTTCCAACACGGCAAACACACTAATGAACATCGATAGTTTATTCATGGGCCAAATGCTGACATCGTGTGTGCAGTCCTGCGGGAGCCACATAACCTGCCTCTGTTTATCTTCCATCACTCACAGTGCTGATCTTTTGTTATTACCGCCTGGGGCTTTGCTCAAACAAAGTGATGGTATTTGGATGGAAGTGAGGCTGCTGGAAGACACTGGAGGTGCCAGATTGTGCAGAAAAAGAGAGAGAGAGAGAAAGGAGTAACTGGATTTGGGAGTGTTTAAAAATTGCTCAGGTACATGTTTTAACAAATGCGATTAGTCAAGTGCAGTAGTAGCTGATGTCAAACAAGTGAGCCTGCCATACCCTGCACTGGGCTTTACTGCATTGTACTGTGTTGGTTTTTGTACGCCACCTGAGATCTGTCTGATTTGCACAGCACTGTCGTAAAGGTCAAAGAGCTCACTGACTATCACACACAATCTCAGGAGAGATTTGGTAAAAATGTCAGAAAAATGTTTTGTTTCTGGATCTATAAAAATAATCACTGTTTATTTTGTTTACGAATACTCATAAACATAACTGTGACATGTCTCCATCTTGATCAGTGGCTGTCTTTAGGAACCTCGCTCTTTATGACGTATGACGTGTAAAAGTCAAACCTGTGAATGACAAATGTGTTTGTCACACTCAGATGTAATTTTTTAACAGTTTCACCTCAGAGAAGCTCTGGGTTGATGCATTCAAGAAAACAGTGACACTATGTTAGTTTGCTGAACTGTTTCGGGGAGCTTCTACAAAGAACCCCAGAATCACCGTTAAATCTCAGATCCCAATAAACAACAGAAACAAGGCCTTAGGTGTCATAAACAGTACATCCTTTTACAAATGCATTTCAGCTTCATCACTGTCAGCCCTCTGCCTCCTCAGCTGTCACTGTGCCGCTGAAGTTTTGATAGCGCCCTAATTTCAATGCCGTGTGAGTTGTGGAGCAGTATAAAAGCATACTCTCCCCTGCCTTGTTTCAGTTGCTCGGTAGAATGCCACTATCAGCATTCTGCAAACCTACAGCATCTTCTGTCCAGCAGCACCGTTATGTAACACACAGTCTCTTGGAAAGCTCTGCATTGCCACAGCAGAAAGAGAGAAAGAGAGAGAGAGAGAGAGAAAAGGACACAATTGTGAGAGACCAAATTGTGCTGATCGATCGGCGGTGTATTATGAAGCAGAGGGAATCTGTTTGCGTGATCAATTTGGTGAATAATGTTGTCAGTGGTGAGACGGCGCAGGGAACCAAGTGAGGCAACGGGATGCGTCCCATCACGGTGTCCCCTGCTCTCACATAACCTGTGTCTCAGTGCAGTGCCGTTTGGCTGCTGATCCTTGGCCTGTGTTTGTGTCCCTCTGAGAACTGAAGCAGATCCTGGCAAATTACCTTCCTGCCATCTATGGTGCCAGCCTAAGACAGCCCGGCGCCCACAAAGGGAAAGCTGTGTGTGTGTGTGTGTGTGTGTGTGTGTCTGTGAGTGTTATGTTTGGCAAAGTGTCTAGTTGCCAGGGTGTTCTCAGGCTGTTTCAGAGCCCGCTCAGCCAGCGCGGGTGCACGTTGGCTTCAACTGCGTGTGTGTGTGTGTGCGTTCACCAGCTCTGCGGTGGGTCATGACTCAAAGGAAGGAATCAGAACACATGGTTCTAAACTCAACAGAAGGCCCGTGGGACAAATATAAGACAGCGGAGAGCTTCCTCCTCCTCTGTCGTTCTGTCTTACAGATCTTTCATGGTTGGTTTTCTGCTGCCTTTCATCTCTGCTCCTCATTGACTTTGCCTTTGACTTCATCACTGTGTGAGCCCGCGCTCATCACTGACGACTTAAGGCATAAACGGCACTCATAGTGAATATGAATAAACCCATGTGATCACATGACGCACTAAACATCTTCTCACTCTGCTACAGAGTAACTGCGGGGAGGTTTTGCGTATCCGCCGGGTGCTGATGAACTCCCCCGAGATCGTGTCCATTGGTCTGGTGTGGGACTCGGACCACTCTGACCTGGCTGAGGACGTCATTCACAGCTTAGGGACATGTCTGCGGTTAGGAGATGTAAGTGAATCTCTCACACACACACCCCCCACCTCCCCCACACACAAACACTCTGTTCTGCATCGCACAGTGAAAGCAGTGGTCAAGGAGGGAGGTAGGAAGGCAAAGAGGAGATCACACTGTTGTCAACATTAACGTCAAGAGGGTTTTATAAAACTAACACCAACCTCACCGTAACAAAACCAATCCTAGTGTGAAGGATGTCAGTGGTAGGGTCAGGCTTCGGGGCTGTCTCTTCAGCTTCTTTTTTTTTAACTTCAAAGTGTGTATTATGCAGATATAACATTTCTACCTTCTGTTTTTTAAATGTTTTTTATATATATATACTGTATATGTTCTCAACCTCCCTAAAATTGCCTTGTTTTTAGTTGAATGTTCTACAGATCTCGTTAGAGAAGTCTGCAGTCAGAAAACGACAGAAGGATGTACATTACACAGACTCAATTTTCACAATGTGACCTTTGTGCGCAGTATTTACCAGTGAGCCAGAGGTGGTGCAGTGATTCAAACGTAAATGTCAACAGTCAGAAATAATAAACCGCAAATGTTAAATTTGCTTCGGTTTCAACAAAGACGAACTGAAAAAAAAAACCCAAAATAAACAACAACTTATAAAGAGATCTTAGTGTGCAGTTAATGGAGGACATCTAGAGCTGTCGGTTCTTTAAGAAATCACTAGTAACCAATGATATGACAGCAGATTCAGAAACAACACAACTCTAACGACCTGGCACGAGACACACGGTCCCAGCAGCTACAGCAGCAGAGTGGGACGTACTTTAGTCGATAAATTAACCTCCCTCCTGCGCTTGTACACACAGACAAGGACAGTAGTCCAGTTAAATAGTCTAACTAAGCAATAACTATAGATCTGTATAAAACTAACAGTGTGTGTAAAAGTACTAAGAGACCACATAAAACGCTGTCATTTCACATGAGAGAGACAATATACAAAGACAAGGACGGCTGATTTAAGCTGAGTTGGTACACAGGCTTCAGATCCTCCATGCTGCTTAAAACTTGATTTTGTTAATGTAGATGTTTATACATTTTAGAAAATGCTTTTTTTAGTCTGGTGAAATAAAAAAAATCACCTAAAGGTTAAAGGTCAAAAGTCACTGTGACCAAAAGGTGATACAGAAGTATTTCCAAGGCTTGAAAACAATGAATAATTCGACTTTATTTACGATAAAAACAGGTTTCTAAATGCATTTATTTCACAAAACAGTAACGTTTAGGAAGTTAAATCATTTATCCTGTTTTTCTTTTTCTTAGATTTTAGATTTTTAAGAACTTCATCTTTTAAACTGATTAGTCTGCAAAATCTACAAAAGTTTTAAGAAAGAATTATGTGTCAAAAAGTTCAAGACAGATGTTACGAATTAAAAATGTGTCTGGTTTTAATAACAACAACAAAGGAAGACTTTCCATCACCATGTCATGGTCATGTGTTGGCCATTTCATTTCAAACTCAGAGCAAACATCTTAATCTAATTTACCATCCAATTATTCAATATTGTTTATAATATGACATTTCAAAAGGAACTAGATCTAGATCATCTCCCAGACTTCTACAGAGACAGAAGCTGCTGATGAAAACACTGCTGGCGTTCATTGTCAGACTTAAAGGAAGGACATGTAAAGGCAAATAATTCTTATTATTCTATTTTCCTAAATAATGTTTTTTTTTTCTTCTTTTTTTTGACCTACCCTTCTACTGAACATTCCAGAGGACACACTTCAAAACACAAATATGTGCAAAACTCATACTTGATGAATACAAATACAGAAGGCAATTTTCAGCCTGTCTTGTTCTGACAGATTTTGACAAACAGCAAAATTCTAACACGCGATCGCCTGATTTTCATTACTATCACAGTGTGAGCCGCCGCAGCTCTCACACCTCGTATTCACACACATACACACACACACACACACACAGCCACACTCTCACACAGATGCATTTGCAGCCACTCACTCACACACATGTTCAACCCCTGATACTCCGTGTCATGACTGAGTAATGCTGATGCATTTTAATGCTCCCGTAACATCTACTGCCGCATTCTGAAGTGATATCCATGAATAATGGAACAGTGAATGTGAACGTGTTGTAGTTAGTCAAGTTTTTCCGTCTCTCTTCCATCACACGTGTCTTCCTGCCCCCGTTTCTGTCTTTTTATCCCAGCTGGGAGAGGAAGCAACTCCTCAGATAAGAATCAGAGGAATGGAATGGATTGTCTGCTTTGTGTATGGTTGTGAAGTTAATCCATCTCTATTCACTGTGTTCTTCTTGGTCTCAGTTGTCTCCTGTTTGCATGTGCGTCTTTCTTTCCTGCCTCCCAGATGCTCTTTTGTGTCGTTTCCCATTTTAAACCAGTTGGCTGCAGCACAGAGAACATTAGTCCTAGACAATAAAACAACAAATTCAATCAATTATTCCTTACTGTAAGTCATTTATCGTGTAAAACTGCTGACCACTGGTGGCTATCTGGTCCTAAGTAAAGACTTCTTCTTTGTTTGTCTTGTCTTTTGTCATTGTAGGTTGATTACTGTTGCCTTGTGTGTATAGTTGGTCCACTGAAGATGCAATTTACCAGCTATGTATTGCTATGTGGAAAAAATTTAGATTTTAATGTGTAAAATAAATCACTGAACAATGATGCTGAGGCACTGTACACCTCCAAACACACACACACACACACACACTCTTGCCACAAAGAACACTGACATTCGATCTTCCAACCATAAACTAATGAAGAGAGTGGAATAACAGAAGATAAACGGTTAATTCACTCACCCACTGATCTCCCCTCCTTTGGCTTTAATTTTAGTGTCAGATTTGCATCCTATTGAGTAACAATACTGCTGTTCTGGTAGGTTTACTTCATACTACTACTACTAATAATAATAACCATCCACTTACAAATGTCCAAATTACTCGCAAATGTAATGAGAAATGATGAGAAAATGCACACCTAGTGGATGTCCTTCAGCACTGCACATACACTTCATACACAGCTCCTACTGCCTCCCATTAGAGAGGGTGAGGAGATTCATTTCTGCACGCTCCACTGTAAGTAACTGTCATGTTCAGGTGGATTGTTGAAGTGAGACAGGATTATAAATAGAAGGTCACGTGGACGTAGCCAAATGTGCCACGTCAGCACTAATATCTCCGTATGAAACACATGCAGATGCATCAGCATTGTCGGCAGCAGCTGACCTTACACTGAGATCATTGTGATAGGTGTGAATTGTTCCTGCCCAGGAAGCCGCAGCACTGTGGCGTGAATCGTGAGAGAGGGGAGATAAGTGTAAGGAGAGGGAGAGTTGGAGGTATTACTGCAATCGGGCTAAATTCACAGTACACACACAACTAGGTGAGCAAAAATGTGCTTGTATTCACATTAACTGTGCCGTCTCTATCTCCTGCTGTACCGCACACCTCTCCCTCTCTCCCCTGCATCTCTCTCCTTCCCTCCCTCCCTCCCTGTCTCCTCCCCCTCCCATTCCTCATCTGTCCTCTCTCTCCTCTCCTCTCGCTCCCCCTTTTTCTCCCTCTCTGTAGTTGTTCTACCGTGTGACAGAGGAGAAGGCTCGCCAGGCGGAGCTCTATTTGGTGGGCATGGTGTGCTACTACGGCAAGCACTACTCCACCTTCTTCTTCCAGACCAAGATACGCAAGTGGATGTACTTCGACGACGCCCACGTTAAAGAGGTAAAGAGACGCAGTTTTGGAGAGTGCATGCTGCAGTGTAGGGAGGGTGCACTGTACTGTACAGTATCTGCTGCATCTCCACTTGTGCCTGTGGGAGCTGAAACAACTGGAACTGTGCCGTATGATACTTCAGTGCTGTATGTGTGAGCTCTGTTTCTCTGTGCTGCCCTGCCATCTGCAGCTTTTGTGCTAAATCTCTTCTTATGTGCTTTTTTTCTAAATTTGGACCTGGACAGATCTGTGTTAAGCTTTTATGAAGCTGTTTGTTCCCTGCTGCACCTTCAGATCGGCCCAAAGTGGAAGGACGTGGTGTCTCGCTGTATCAAAGGCCACTATCAGCCCCTGCTGCTGCTCTACGCTGACCCCCGTGGGACGCCAGTGATACTGCAGGAGAGCCCCAACCCCTGTACCAGCTCCAACCCGCAGCTGGAGCTCCAGCACTGCAGCAGCAAGGCTGGTTACGACAGCGAAGACTCCGGTACAGCAAAGATGCAGAATCTGCCACAGATCAGATCAGATTACTTTGTATTTATCATCAGGGGTTAGGCAAGGTTACAGCTTTAGAGCTCTGACCTTCAGCCCTTAATCCAGCTTCTGCTTGTGTATAGGCTGCAGAGACTGAATTTATTATTCTCTCTTTGACTGTTAACATATTGAGATCTGGGATTAACTCCAACCTTTCTATCCCATGTTCTCACTGTCAGGTCGTGAGCCCTCCATATCCAGCGATACACGGACAGACTCTTCGACGGACAGCTCGAGCCACCGCGCCTCCCGCAGCCGATCCCTCCACCAGTCCACTGGTAGTCACCTCTCCAGTGAATCCCAGACTACAGTGGTGTGTAATTTCGACGTTGGCACACCACCGCACAGTGCTGACAACAGAGGTAATACTGAAATCTATGAAGCAAATCTTGCACTTTGAAAACTCCGAGCAACTGCAGTTACAAAGTGACCTCAGTGGTTCTGGGAAGTCAAAGAAGTGCAAAACTGCAGAACAACTTTGACCAAGCAAGGGTCCGGCTTTGAATTTAAGTAAAAATGAATTGATGTTTTCTTTCTCGTGTCCCTTGTGCTTCATCATCACAGACACTTCAGGTTATGCGCCTCATTAGTGCTCATCCACATATTTACTTGGATTGCTGCCTGGATAATTGCTCCCTGTAGGATAAATAAACTTATTGGATTTACTTTCTCTCTTGTTTCCCTCCTCTTTCTCGCACGTCCAGAGTCAGCGGTGGAGGGTCCCCCTCACCCTCCCTCTCCTCCGCTGCAGGAGTACAAGGAGACGGCCGTCTTCCTCCTCTCCTCACGCAGGCCGCTCACCTCCTCTTCCTCCTCCTCTCGGCCCCTGTCCTCCTCCTCATCCTCAGGAGTAGGGGGCTGTGAGGGTGGGGCTGGAGGCCCCCATTGGGAGGATGAAAGCACCAGCAGCGAGAGCAAGTCCAGGTACTGCACTACATACATGGACCAGATATTGTCCTTGAATCACACAGACAGTGAGTATAACAAACGGCGCCACCTACAAATCATATCAAACTAAGACTATAACCTGAGTGTAGAAGTAATCACTGGGGAGCTCATTCATGTAAGTTTGGAGCGTCTCTTTACAAGCACACGCTCCCCCCACTGTTCAATAATATATGACCACTGCAACATCTAACACTTAGAAGCCCATATAAATACTTGGCCTCCTTCTATAGGCACTGCATCGGAGTCCAACATCCCTGATGTTGAATTACCTCCTCGCTTTCTGCCTGGATCAACATTTAGAATCTGAAAGGCGATATGTAATTTGACGACATGTTGTTGTTTCTGAAATGGTGTACATCTCAGGCTGTGCCCTCTAAGTCATCAAAAAGAGCAGAGCCAGGGAAGACAAACTAAAACCTATATTATTGTTGGAATCATTTATCAGAGCTGCATGTAAGTGTTCCATCCAAGTCAGTCCTTTTTTTTTAGTACGAGCCCTAATTCCAGGAAAAGTTCATACAGTTTCTAAAACTTGAGAAGTTTTAATTTACTCCTGCCTGTACGTCACAGCCAGAGCCTGGGGTTTGGATGACTCTCTGAAATGTTTCTTAACACAAAGCAGCGAAGATTTTATATTATATTATTCTTAGAATTTTGAAGATAGCATGCAGAAACCTTGGTGTGGAAAGGGCAAGGGCAGAAACAGCTACTGCAGGCATGTAAGGGCATTACAAAGCGACATGGACCCTGAACTGTTGAAGGAAATCACCACTGCTTAAAATTCCACTGCCGTATCAAAGATGATACCAAAGACAACAGCCACGTGTTCACTGGTCAGATAAGGAAATGTGTCGGTGTGACTGTGGTACAGAGAAGCCTCTACTGAAGGTGCAAAAACCACCATCTATGGCAGTATGACGTACGTCCATATGTGTGACTCATGTCAATGTATTTTACCATCAATATAGTATGTTTTAACACAATCAAAAATGTATTTAAAAAATGAAAGCTATACGACCTGGTGGTAAAACTGCCTTTACCTCAAGCTTTTAGATTAAAACAATTTCCAAAGTTTTTTTTGTTTGTTCTTCAGCTCTTCTGGAGGCCGTTACCGGCCAACCTGGAGGCCCAGGAGAGAGGCCCTGAACATCGACAGCATCTTCGTCCGTCAACGCGGCTCCTCTCTGGGCTACAACACGCTGCCCGGTCCCTCTCTCCCTCCAGAGTCCCGGGACTCCCTCCCCTTGGTGGGACCCACTCCACCCACTCAGCAAGGGTTACCAGAATTGGAAGGGAGGGAGATTGGAGACTTGGAATTGGGATTTGGGCTGGTAGGGCAGCCCAGGTCCCTGGGCAGTGGGCGGACAATGGGTCCCCCTGCCCCTCCACCTCTGAGAGGGGTGGAGCACCAGCCACGTCTGATTCAGAGGATGGAAAGTGGCTACGAGAGCAGTGAGAGGAACAGCAGCAGCCCCGACAGGTAGGAGACGCACAAATAAAGATTACTGTCTCTGCCTTTTGGTTCCACATTGTTCATCATCTTTATCAGCATCAAATATAAATGATGACACTAACAGAAACTGATGGTCAAACAGGAGAGGTTGATAACAACCGCTCGATCGTCCAGCACACACGTCTGCCTGACTTCTCAACACTCTTCCTCTCTTTCACCTTCTGTTTGCCTTGTGCTTCTCTCCAAAGGGAAGTGGGGCAACAAAAACGAGTGCTGATGTCAGGACCGTCATGGCGTTCGGTGCCCAAGTCAAAGAGCAGCGGTGCCATACTGCAAGAGCTGCCCTCAGCCAGCTGGGGCAGTGGCACCAACACAGGTATACGTTGGTGGAGATACTGCCGTACTTTGACTCCTTCATCCATGTGTCATTCTTCACCTACTGTACCACACGTGTGCTGCTCCTACTCAGGCTCAGGGCGCAGCGAACTAGACGAGCTGCAGGAGGAGGTGGCGAGGAGAGCTCGCCAGCAGGAGCAGCAGAAGCGCAGGGAGGCAGAGCGGGAGGCCGCTATGGGATTTAACCCCAGACCAAGCAAATTCATGGACCTGGACCAACTCCAACACCAGGGTAGGAACAAAACCAGAGAGGGGTGAGAAGAAAGACAGGGTGGAGGAGACGGAGGAAGTGTTTAGAGTTGAGATGTTCATGGGATAAGTAGGAGCTGCTGAAGCCGAAGGAAAACATATTTTCACTTATTTAATGTTGTCCAGCAATCATGTCTTGGTTATTATTTAGGCATAAAATGATTCCGTTCCTGCCATCTATGACTATCACTAATGTTTTCTTTACACTGGAATATTTTTCTCTAAATGAACAAAAAAGATTTTATTTGGTAACAGCTCATTAACTGTGAATAGTTTGGAGTTGTTCCTTCGGAAGTGACTCATTGTTGCAGCTATAGCTACAGCACATCTTAGGTCAATACCGTAGAACTTCATTATAACACCTACAGCACCAACATGGCCTTTATCGTCTCTCAAACAACCGTTCCATAGCTGTACAGGAGAGGAAAGAAGTAGGCGTGTTTTTTTTTAGCCTGTATATTTCTGCAGACTGACTCCATAAGTTAATGTTAATTCATACCTGCATTAAGGCTGCGCAGAGCGACAGTGTACATCTCCAAAGCCAGGTAACACAGAGACCTCCCTGACTCACTAGCTCCATTTTGATTTCAGTCACAAAGTTCACCTCTGAAATAATTAAGGCCAAGGTTATTAAATTTCAAACAGAGGGATGTGAGTCAGATTGTGATTAAGTTTATCCTTATGCTGAAATTTTGCCCGGTGCAACTTTAGGGTCGCATTATCACCTGTTGTCTTGTTTAGCAGTGACAGTGACTTATTTGTCCATGCTTCTGTCTGACCTCCTCTTTGTCCTCTTCCCCATCTGTTCGTCTGTCGCTCCATCTGTCCCCCTGTGTCGGAATTTTCTATTTGCCTAATAGTTTAGTGTGTGCTTCCTGTATTGGAGTGGATTTTTGTGTGTCATTGAGGAGTCACTGTGTGTATGTGTAGAAGTCTTCCAGTGTGAATGTGTTAGTGTGAGTGAAGTTTTAACAAATGTATGTTCAGATACATTTTTTGTCCACGTGGAAAAGTGAGCTTTTAATATCTGCTGTGACTCCAAATGAGATTTTGGGAGCAGAATAATAAATGTATCAGCTGAGTAATCTCATTTAGGGATTAAGGTCACACACTTGTTGTCACGAACTGGGACAGAGTAATTTTGACAAATTTCAGCCCACAGCAATAAATAACAAAGGAATGGTCGCACAAAGTTTTCTACGGGAAATACAGGAAACATTTTTTGGCACAAAACTGCTGCTCGGGGCACTGGAGCTTTTTTGCAAAATCATTATACTCACTACATTGATTCCGAAATTTGCCGTGAAATTGTTACAGACATTCCTGATGGCTCCTAATGACCTCGGCTTTTTCCTCCTGCTCTGCACTTAGTTTTGGATTTGTCCATACGAGACATATCAGCACGGCCTAATTAGACCGACACGAGACTAACACAGTCATGTGTCCCATAGCATGAAATTTAAAACACTAAAAATAGCCGCTAAAGGTACGCTTAGAATGGCTGCCATGAAATGTCACTCCCGTAGGACTACTTACAATACGTGTTTAGCCCTGTGTGGCACGCCAGCATGTTTTTATTGATGTGTGCAGAAAAAAAATTAAAAACAGGTTGATTGCGATTTTGTTACCGTAGCTGTGAGCTAGGAAGCTAACGTTTCATTTCATTTATCCCTTAGGTTGGTTAGTGATTCAGGAAACTTGTGTCATTCTTTTAAAATCACATTACACGTACTGAACGTAAAAATACTAATACATACTTCAGGTACAAAATGATAGCAACAGGACACAGGTATGTAAGCGACTTTAACAAGTCAGATGTAATGTCAAAGTCCAAATAGTCACAAATCTGCACATATGTTTTTAAACATCAGAGCAAACTGGAGTGAGAGGACAAAATGTTTTCATACAGGGAGATAATGCTACGGCCACACATAAAGGCCATCTGTCTGAAATGGTGACCTTCTTCCTGTGAGGCAGCAGCAATTACCGTGCCTCCTCTGAGCCGTCTGATTAATCAATTATGAAAATAATCATTAGCTGCAGCCCCACTCCTTACTCCGGCCCTGATGGGCTTGACACTGTGGTTGAAAGACAGTGTTTGTGTCTTTACATTGTGTGTGTGTGAGGCAGTGTGTGTGTGTGTGTGTGTGTGTGTGTGTGAGAGAGAGAAAGCATTGAATTGCAGGTGTGCAGGTTTTCCCCTCCAGCTCAGCACAAACTAAATCTATATGTGGAATTATTCTACTGTGTCCTGTCTGTCCTACTGCGTGTGCTTCAGTTTTTTAGCCCCATGTACCTGATACACACATGGACACACACACACACACACTCTCTGTGAGTACTTTCAACCTTGGTGAACTAAAAGAACGCCTTTCAGAAGGCACAGATGGCATCATAATCAGCACGATTACACAACAGAACTTGGGTTTCCACATCCGTATCAATGGTTTCAAAGTGGAGACAAAGTGCTGCAGTGTGTTAGCGGTGGTTATAGCCAACAACAACAACACAACCACTGAGCCATCACCATCAGCCGTTCTTTATTTCTGCAGCCAAATGTTTGCAAAGTGAAGCTGAAAAAAGTCACCTCATTGTTGTCCTCTACTGCAGAGGTCCCCAAGTTTCTTTGCGCCACAGACCTTTTAACTGTCTGAACATTTTTTCACAGACCGGCCTTAAAGGTGTGACGGATAAATACAACCAAATAAAATATGACGACTAGCATAAAAACTGTTATTTACTAAATATAATAATGAACGTTAAGCCACTGTGTATGCAACTTTATTAGCAGCGTCTTCGTAACATTGCGCTTGTTTTTTAATGCAGAACACTTGGTCTCCAAGTGGAGAAGCAGTTTTGAAGGCTTCATCGCCTCGTTAGAGAGCCGTTCACTGCATATGATTATATTATGGGTGTTGGGGACCACTGCTCTACTGCATCTCTGTATAACAAACTAACACCACGCAAGGTGATTTCACTGGGCTACGACCCACAGATGCTTCCTTCAAAAAAAATCTGTGGATTGGTCTTTTCTAAGCTCTGGTTTCTGTAGCTCGATGAACGCTGCTTCTTCTTTGCTCTTCATTTAATCTAATGTATAATTTTGACTCACTCACTGCAAAATAGATTTACAAATCAATGCATTAACAGCAGAGCTGGGAAGTGGTGAGAGTTGGAATAATGATTGTGGACAATGCGTAGTAATGGCACAATAAAAGCAGGTTGTATTCAGCGACTGTATAAAAGACGTACAGTCACCTCTGTTGTCAGCGGTGCATGAATGAAGAACGGTCTAATTCACTGGTTTTACAGCAGCTTCAGTGGAACACAATCACATCTGGAGATCAATAGATCATAAGGAACATGACAGTGTGAATATCACTGCCATGCAATGTTAGCTTTCAAAAAAACAACCTACCAAATATGGAGTAATATGGGGTTTTCTGTTTAATATTTTGTTCTCTTGGAAATGAGTAGATTCTAGATTCAAACCTAAAATGCTCCATGTTTGGACCAGTTCTGTTCTTAGACCACTTTGAGCTGACTTGACGATGCTGTGGCCAGTCTGTGGCCCAGATATGGCAAAGTGGAGTGAAACACCCATGTGCCATCATCTCACACATTCGTATCTGTACCACATACAGTCCAGATCACATTCAGTCATAATGAACCAGACCACATGTCTAGTACCTGTTTGGAGTGGTATGTTGTAACTGGCTAACTATAAACAGTGAAACACGGATTGAACCGACTTCACACACTGAAATAGCAACATCTTATGAAAGGCTTCTTTGTGTTTTTTAACGTTTGCACACATTAGAAGTAAAACCGTTGCATTATAGTTGAAGCCTAGCTCTACAATGGAAGTGTTGAACACTGATGGCAAATGAAGCTACTTTTGTATTGGTTTATCATAGTAAACATCTTCTCAAGGGGGATGTCATCCTATTAGCTGGTTTTTAGGTGGTCTTAACAGAAACAGGACATCGACATTTACCAGATCTCAAGGCATCAAAATGGCAGTTGATTTTGCGACAGGACTAGACCCATAATTAGATACAACCTACCCCTTTTTTTTTTCAATGTTCAGCCCAAGGACTGCCAAAGTAAAGAGTTAGGTCTAAGATCAGGGTTCACTTAAATATCTTCTATATCAACATTTTCCATGTGCTTCAATGTGAATGTGAACTCCTGTGAATGTGTAAACATTTGACTTTGATGAAAAAAATGGCAAAGACTTCACAAATCACTGACCCCTGGTTGAAGCTGAAACATTTGGGGACATAAAGCTTTTCTTAAAGACAATTCCTTCTTTCCTCCCTGAGTGTAGTATGATGGATGGCCAAAATACTGTGACACCCGTGACCCTCACAGCTGCTGCGAATGTGAGCTCTGTGGTTCTAATCGGGAACAAAATACTCATAAATAGCCATAAATCTGTGTGAGACCGAACCAGGATCTGAACGTGAACTGAATGAATATCTGCAGCTCGGTGTTAGCAGCGACCATTAGCATCTCCTTGAGAGACATTGGATTTTATACAGTATATTTCAATAGATAGAATCAGCACAAATAAGGTGTTAAGTGTTGGTAATCAGGTTACATTGTCGCAGTCAACAAAAGAGGGCGCTCACCGTAAATTCTCCCACTTTGCAATGCTATAAAACAGATACATTAACTTACGGCAGGGCATTATGCATGCCAGCCTCCTCATAACCACTCCTTCTGCTCTGCTTCCCTTTCCTCCATCCTCTGTCTCAAACCTCTAATTCTCTTGGTTTTAATTTTTAAACATTTCCTCTAATTGTCTGTTATCCTGTCAAAATTTCTCTCTGTCTTTTCTCCTTTTTTTCTCTCCCGCTCTGTTGTTAATATCTTCAGCTGTGTTCAGACCCCTGCATGAAGCTAACGTTCATAGCGGATTGGCTGTAGCTGCGTGCATGAGGAGCACTGGCGGCCCAATCAAACGCAGGCAGGAACAGGAAATGGAACGGGAGACAGGAAGCGCCCGTCCACAGGGCCCTCACAGGTACCACCACTGTCCCCTGTCTGTATTTGTCCACAACGGTGCCTGTGACAGTTTGACTTCTTCCCCTCCCTGCCTTTTTGTGTGTTCTTAAGCCCACCTTAGGACCACCGTTTGTGTGTGTGTGTGTGTTCTCTGGGTGACAAAAAAAGAGTGTGTCCTCTACTCTGGTTGCCTGTTCAAATCCCAGAAACCCATGGTTTCGTAAACCCCGAGTGTTGCAGTTTTACGTGCTGTTTGCTTGTGTCTGTTTGTCTGAAAATGTGTTTTTGAGCACACACACACACACACACACACACGTATACAGCCCAATATCTTTGCCTCTGTGTTTGTGTTCAATGAAAGGCGGCTTTTGCTGGACTCTGTTGCCTTTGAGAATGTGAAAAGTTTGTGTTGCTCTTTGCTTTTGCTTCCCTTTGTTACTGTTATTGTGCTGCTCTTTATAGCTCTGTGCTGCTGAGGCTTCACTTCACTCTGTGTGTGTGTGTGTGTGTGTGTGTGTGGTGATCTTTCCTTCTGTGCATCGTGAAGCTGCGGCCCATCACTTTGTTTCTGACCTTTGTCCGCTTCCATGAGATTGCACTCAGGGAATCATGCTCTGTGCTTTGTGTTTTTCTTTTTGCTGCCTCTGTGCTCGTCTGTTGCAGTCTGTCAGTATGTTTCTCCTCCTGATGTGTCAGGCCTTTTCCTTTGTATACGTCCTTGTCAGGAAAAGAAAATGTCAGCAGTTTTTTTTGTGATAGAAATATCATCTTGAAGTTGGAAATATAATTTGTTTAAAAACTTTCCCTAACTTGTATTAATTTTAAAGCAGCAGGGAGAATGTAAAATGTAAAACTACAATATAAATACTTATTATGAAAGGCTCCTTTTTCGTGGACATTTTTTGAAAAAACAATTTCATCTCAATTATTTTGAGACACTTTGACAATATCAATAATTAACATAAAAATACTGTTGTATAAACAAATTTATACAAGTATATGCCATTTAAGAACTTAAGAAATTACAAATACTTTAGGTGGAGAACAAAAGATATTGCTATGAGAAGAAATCTTTCACTAAAGATCTTATTTGATTTAATCTTTTCACCCCTAAAATCTGCTACAGTCCATTGACTTCAAGTTGATTCCAATTTAAATATATTGGCAATATCTAGATAGATATAATAATAATAGATATAGATGTAACAAAACAGAAAAATACTAGAATAATCGAGGAATTTATTGATTTTTTGGTATGTTTTCAGTGTTTAGTTTTACAAATTGTTGTGACATTATTTTTTACAAGTCTTATTCTGTGCTCGTTTCGCAATGCATGCAAAATGGTTTTTTTTCTCTCTTTTCCACAACAGTCATCAACACACGTACCGTATAAATATTGTGACCCACCAACGTTGATTAGAAAAGGAATGCCTAACTCCTGCTGCACCACTGTAAGGTAGCATTTAGAGCAGACTTCTCAAGTGTAAATCCAAACTGTTAACATCGGGACAGAAGGAACGGAGGAGGAGGTGAAGCTCAGCCTCTTTTATTACCTTCCTCCTCTCCTCTATTGATCAACACAAGCCTCTGATTTATGGCTCTCTGCTGCAAAGCCTGCTGGGTAATTACTGAAGCCGAAAAGAGACGGGAGAGTTAATGTGGGGGATGGGGGCCGGCTCTCACTTAGACACATATTCGCACATATAGCGCTGCACGCACTTAGATCGAAGTAGACACACAAATCTGCAGACTTGATGTTCACACCGTACTGTACGCACACACACACACACACACACACACATACACATTAGTTCACCACAAACCGAACGAGAGCACAATATGTTCCACTTGCACACAGAGAGGACTCATTAATGTTCAGCATACATCACTGCCTCCACATATCAATGTATGTAAATCAATAGGTAATATAGTGTCCCAGTCAGTCCAAACTGCTCCGTTCCGTGGAGGCAGAACATTTATTTTCTGGATTGATATACTGCACCAGAGCGGTGGTGCAGCAGAGGGCAGATTGTTGTTTTGAAAATCAGATTACAGTGGAATATTTTGTCGTCTGCGCCTCACGCTGTACGTTCAGATCGGGGAGTGAAGCTCGTGGCTGATTTATAAGCAGCATGGCTGTGAAATGCACAAGGCTGGGTTATGGTTGGAGTGTATGTACATACGTGTGTGTTCTGCCTGTGTGTGTGTGTTCATCCTGATATGCTGTTGTGACCTTCCCTCTATGCAGTAACTCAACTGACGTCAGAGCACTTGTGTTTTTTCTTTCTTGTATATTTTGGTGCTGCTGGCTGACTGACGCCCTCCCTGTCCTGTGTCCTCCAGTGAACAGCCTGGCCCGGTCCAAGTACTGCTGACGCCCAATCAGGAGGAGGAAGAGGACCAGGCTGTGCCCAACCAGGACGCTACTCTGGGCCCGGACCCGCCCCCTCCACCCTACCGGTCCACTCTCCCTCGTCCCTCACTCACCCTTAGCATTACTCACCCTTGTGCCCCATCCAAGCGAGGGGAGGAGGATGGGGGTGGAGGGTGTGTGGGACGGAGAAGGGAAGAAGAGGAGGTTGGGAGGGAAGGGACGGGGGTGAGGCTGTGTGAGCTGCTGCAGGCTGGGGGGGTGAGTGTCAGGCCCCTGGGGAAGCACCTGGCCATCTCTCTGCCCTCACTTCCTTTGCGTCTCTGGGATACACAACACACCGCACACACACCACACTCCACGCACCTTGAACCACCACGCGCACGCCCTCCCCCTCCTCCATCCTCTCCTTCCCCGAGCTCCCCTCTGGAAGCCCCTGGGCAGAGAAAGCCTCCGGCACCTCTTTGGCAGCCGCCCCATTCTCCCACCGTGGCCACTCAGAACTGGCTGAGACACGGAGCCGCCTGTGACAGCAGCACACGTCATTGGTCCTCCTGGAGTTTGGACCGCCCCGATGCCGTGGTGACGCCCTACAGCACACCCCCAGACTGCTGTGTTCCCATCAGGCCGCAGGTGACCAGCCAGAACTACAGCTACAGTTGCCAGTCCTCCCCGGGACACTGCGGCGCCCAGCACGCCCACCGATGTGAGCGTGAAGAGGCCGAGTTGACTGAGCTGGATTCCCTTTATCAAGCCAGTCTACAGGCGGGGAGGACAGGTACGACAACGTGCACACGTACGTGCACACACACAAACACAGAGGACCAGTATGCAAATATATTCTAAACTCCATGAATCATTTAGATACAAATCTTTAAAGAATGTGCACAGAGCTGAAGACTCAATTAATTATGCCGATGATTTTCAACAAGTTCATTATGTAGCTCATTTATCAACAAACTCTGCAAACATTAGCTGACTTGGGCTTTTACCATTTACAAAAAAGCGCTAAATTGATGCCTAATATTTACAAATATAAACCTAGAAAAGGTGATATCTTGTATTTGGATCTTTTATTACTTAATAGGGGAAAACATAGTTTCTGTAAATTTTACACTGAAAAATATTCAACATTCAAAGTTCTCTTAAATCACTGATGTTTTATCCTTCAAACCATTAAATTGAGTGTCTACGTTGTCAAAAAAAAATGAACACACTCCATTTTGCAGAGGAGGCGTTGCTCATGTTGTCAGTGCCTGTGTTTGTCTGTAGGCTGCAGTCCATCAGAGAGGCTCATATCAAGAGTGGGAGGCCAGGGTCGCTCTAAGACCCCCAATGCAGATATGGAGAGGAGTGTGTACGGGGCAGACTGCACCAGCACCCCCACCTACCTCAACAAGGTGACATTTGCATCTTTAAATCCCATTCCCCTCTTCCCACGTGTCTTCAGGTCACCACTGGGATTCATTTTCCGACAACTGACAGACATTTTGTCCCTTAGCAGCCAATGATGTTGCGGGATCTGCGTTTCGGGGCGGAGCCTGATGATGGTGAAAATCTGAGGCAAATTGGACGCAGCCTGAGTGGCACAGTAGTGACCTCGCGCCGCAGTCGCTTGACTGCAACCCGCAGCCTTGTGAGTGGCAATTTCTTTTCTCCCAGCTCTGCTGCCTCCTTATGGCTGTGCTCTGAAACTACATCTCACGTTACACATTGCTTTCCTCTGTGCTCTTCTTCCCTGCTGTTTGTCCCGTTTCTTCCCTTTGTCCTGCTTTTCGTTCTATCTCTCTCTCCCCTCCGTCTATGTGCCTCTCCTCCCCCTCTCTCTCTCTTTCTCTCTAAGGTGAAGCAGTCTGATGTCAGTGCCTCTCCTTGTTTACTTCCTCTCTTCTGAGTCCCTGTTGCTATTCCACCACCATCTTCTCTTCCATCCTCCTCATCACCAACACCTTCTCATGACCACCTCCCTCCACTGCTTCACAGGTAAAAAAAGAAAGGTGCTGACTTCACCTGATCTTAACCATTTACCTTGTATAATGGGGGAAAACCTGCAAAAGTGTGGACAGTTCCTGAATTAGACATTTTAAAATCAGGTCAGAAGCCCAAGGTTATTTAGGACTCTGATATTTTCTGTAGTTGTTGGTGAGCATTTTAATTTTTGGCAAAGCAGAGTTATTAAGTAGAAAAGTAGGCTAAGCCCATACACACATGGTTACACATGGTGCAAAGATGCCACATGTCAGGTCTGATTGAAATTGGCATCAGAAATCATGGCAGGTCCCATGGTCACAGTATTGGATAAGGGATAGACACTGGATTTAGAAAACTATTTTGATATTAAGTTACAGTGTGGAGAATAAAAACACAGACATGTTGACCCAAATTAGAACAGATGTATTCCACAAAAAATGAAAACGAATCGGTTCAAGACGTCTTTGAACACGTGCCGTAGGAGCAGAATGACTGTATTTACTGTGACTAGTCTAAAAAGTACCGAGGACGACAATCACATGCCTCAACTCAGGTTCAGAGATCACTAATGATTCTACACAATGTCAGCCTTAGCTGATATGATACGTTTGCCATGCCATTAAAAGGATTCATTATTTAGATAAGAATTCACAGCTTTAACGCCCAAAGTAAAGGCAGGTCAATGAAATGATATCAATGTGGAAAACTTGACCTAAAGCTGTTTCGTGTAATTGTTTGCTTTTTTATCATGTAGCTGCAGTCCCCTGGACTGCAGGTGGTGCTAATGAGGCATTTATAAGCAGTCTTTCAGAATGTATGTGTATAATACCATCTAGGTTTTAAGGAAAGGTATGTCCTAAAAAAAAAAGACTTTGATGATTTGATGTTGCTTTTTCAAACTAATGAGATTTCTGTCCAAATAAACTTAAAATAAATCACAGTATACAGCAGATTCTAATGAGTTGTTTTCCTATGAAGTGCTGAAGTACCTGCACCGAGCTGACAAACTAATAATTATGCTGTACTGTTGTTACGAATTCACCTACCGGACATATTTGCCTTCATTAAACTGAGCTCTAAAAACAAGGTTATTTCATTAAACTGAGCTCTAAAAACAAGGTGAGAGCAATTATTTCTGTAGAAAAGTTTCCTGTCAGATCATCTGTGACTTGGATTTCAGTTAATCCACATGACACAAATGACGCACAGCATGCTCAGTGTGTTATGACCCAAATGTTACGAAGCTTCGAAAGATATTTTTTTAACATGCGCTATTTATGGATGCATTTCGTCTGCGTCAAAACTGTTCTCAAATTAAAAACTTAGTTGAAAGAGTTGGGTAATTCTGACTAATAATTAAAATACAGTTTAGCTAATTGTTTACTGGACAATTAGGCTTAAATGTGTGGCTGTACCAAAAAGAGTGTTCCTTTTGGATATACAGAATGTTTTGTAGAGAACAGCCATCTGGCTGTCTGTATCTTTGCATATTTAATTAACCGTCTTACGAAGCCTCAAGGTAAATAAAATGCAGTTTGTTCCCAGTGCAGAGGCACTACATTTTCTAATTAGTATTTCTCTGTGCGCCTTCATGATTCTGACCTCCTCGTCATGTTCTCCTCTCTCTGGTGCAGGAGCTGTCAGGCAGTGCAGGGAGCTTCTGGCTGTGTCTGACTGGGGTCAAGCTGTCCTCTGACCAGAGTCCTGCTCTGTTCCACTAACGTCTCACCGTGCTCTCTTCTACATGGTGCAGCGGTGATGCAGCGGGGTCTCCACAGACCTGGCTCAGGAGGATCAAAGCTACGATCCCCCCTTTTTTCTCCTTTTCCCTTAAATGACATGCACACGCAAACACATGCACGCACACATGCACATCTGCACTGACATAGAGCCTCCCTCAGCGCCTGCAGCAACCTGCTTAGCCCCTCCTTGCCTCTCCCCCCGCCTCCTTTATCCTACTATTCTGTCTATGCAGTCACTCTGACCCCCGATGACAACCTCAAGCTTCCCCTCTTCTTCTTGGGACTGTTGTTTCTTGTCTCCCCTTGGGGGGTTCTCCCAGCATGCCACAGTCGGTGGCATGGTCAGTTTGGTGTTGATGTCGCAGCAGCCCCCGGTCGACCTGGGACCTGAGCTCTCAGCAGGACCCTCAGCTCAGGGGGAGGTTCTTACCAAGTAGCCACGCCTCTTCCTCTTTCTTCATGGGCATTTCCTGTTGGACGCACACGTAGCCGAACTGTCGGCCATCTGTTGTCAGATGGACAGCCATAGTTTTTTTCTCCCTTTGTTTTAAGGGTTGTTTTATTTCCTCTCTGTGTGCGCACACACGGTAAACCTGTCCGAGATTGAACTCTCTAACAACTTTGAATTCATGTACAGAAAAACTCATGTATGAAACCTGTATGTTAATTAATAAGACCTTATGGAATGTTGATAATGATAATTAACAAATATTGATAAACTTAAAGTGGTACTTCCTCATGTCTGCATTTCAAATACGAGTGGAGTGCACTTCACAAGTGTCTAGCTGGAGTTTCTGCCCCTTAAAAAAACGCTCGCTGACCTAATGACGGCTCTCCCGTTTCTACCGGGAGATTAAACAAGAAAAGCGCTTCCTTTGTTTCTAGGATTCTTTCCTCTCTCCTTCTTTCCTTTCTAGCTCTGTTATTCTCGCTTGCTTTCGTCCTTCCTAACAGGAATCAGTAGCACCAGAAATAGGCCAGCGGGGAAGGAAAGTGGAGAGGGAATGAGAGAATGTAGGTTAGGAAAGCCTTCTCCTAGGTTTTATCTGGAAAATAAAGAGAGGGAGAGAGTTGACTCAAGTGCACTTTGCATGATGATTCTTGCAAAAGTGCACTTTTTTTGAAGGCTGTTTAACAAAGACGTGGGCCGAGGGGGTGTTTGTTTAACTTTAAGGCCTCAGGTGAACTTCAGTGGCACTTAGAAATTCACACTTTAATATTCCTCTCTCTCCCCCCACTGAAACTGGTTTTGCAAACTCAGTTGTGAATAAAGAAAAGGTTAAAGACTCATCCTCAGCCTGAGACAGTCACGTGTCTAATATGAATATACTTTATATGATATATATGTATTAGAGGTATATTTTCAGCCAGTGAACTATCTTCTATAGAGATGTCAACCATTCTTCAGTTGTATGAACAGTCTTTAAAATGAACAGATGAAATCACTTCCCCTTTACAGAGTAGCATCCTGACATGTGTAGAGTACATTTATTATATGCTTTATTGAAATAATATGTAAAATATCAAAAAGTCCTTATCTAAAAAAGGAAAAGGCCAATGTGAAGTTGGACGAGACTTTACTCATGTTGATTGATCATTGTGACTAAACCAAAGGTTGGCACTTAACTCAGAGAGCTTACTTAACTTGACTTCTTTTGTTTTTCATTTAGGTTCACCTCTGTTGATGTTGACGTTTGTTTTTTTGTTGGGGTTCTGGAGGTGGGAGAATGTAGCCAATTGTAGCGCATGAGTCCGCTATGCAAATCAACCTTCCCTCACAATCCTGTATCAAGAGACAGTCAGCAGGCAGACACACCGACCCACGGACGCTCTCACAGACTCTGACCGAGACACGGAGACACGGAGACACGGAGACCGAGGAGGAGAATCTCATGTATTAATGCTGCTGGTGAACTTTGTTGTTCTGCATCTACTACTAAGTCTCATCCAATGGAATGCAAAGAGAGAGCAACAGGAGAGAGCAGGATGGAGAAAGAGCGTGAATGAATGTAAACTAAAAAAAAAAAAAACAGGGATGAGAGTGTGTGTTTTCTGGGGTGACGTGACGGTCAGAGAGGGGTGGAGGTTTTTACTGAAGATGGTTTACTGTTTGTGGGTGAGTGTAGACTATGTGTGTCAGTTCTGGGCTGTTGTTGCTCGGGGAAAGAGGGAACCTGTATTTTTGCAATAAAGTTATTTACCAATGCACTCCCACGTAAACGTAAAATATTGAGGACTCCATTTCTACAACAGTTTTTTGTGTGAGGTTTTAAATTTTCTTTATACATTAACAATTCAAGCTGGTGTTGAGAGTGTAAGGACTCAAAGGATATTTTATTGGCACAATCTGATCCACTAGTCTCCATGACAACCGTTTCCAACCAGGTTCACGCTTTAACAGCCACAATATAAATATGGAAAGATTCCTTTAGCAAGTCAACCTGACATGTCAAAACCTCAAATTATTTTAATTCGTTTTCTTTGAACATAAGTTTATTTCAGTTGTCTCCATTGTCACCACATCTCCAGTCAATAGATGGATTATTTAGGGATGTGGTGGGAAAGGACTTTAGCATCAGGGAACTGCAGCTGACAAATAGGAAATAATGAAATGGTACAATCATCCATGACTGAACCCCGAGGAGACATTCTTCTACGCTAATATCCAAACAAAATGATGTTATAGACGGTATACAATATAACAACAAATATACAAGTTTTAAAATGTGTCATTATTCTTAATTCAAAGCTTTCAATTTTTTTAGTTTTAGTTCAAATGTAAGAAAATAAATGTAGATGTGGCTATATGAAGATGATTAACTTTTTTCAACTGGGTGCAAGTTTGCCTTTCTGCCACTAGATGTAGCCACTGACCCACTGGCTGGTTACAGTTCCTCACTCAGTGCTTAACAATACGATGGACCTTTACTGTTTTACACACAGTAGGCACGGATGACTACCTTTGCTGCCAAACTGTTGGTGGCCGAAGAAAATATAATTTTTCCAAAGCACCAAAAAGCAAAACTAAAACTGATCAACCAAGGGAAAATAGAGCCACATTCAGACAGGTACATTACACTGCAGATGGTTAAACGTACATAATCCAGCTGTTATATAGTATAACATGTTCATATTTGACAAATTCAACAGTAGAAAAGAACAAGAGATAGTGCATGAAAATAACTAAAGCTACTATAGACCGGTGTGCTGATCAATAATTCTATAAGAAACACAGAAATAGAGAGAGAGTGTGTGCGTGAGAGAGAGAGAGAGCAGAATGGAGATTACTCTTGAGCTTCTCAACAGGTAGCAGACAGCAGGAAACGTCTGTCTTCGTGAGCAGAAAAGGTTGAGTCACACAAACAGCTATGACAGCAGCAGCTGTGTGTTGCATGTTGTTTAGTTGCATCAGGGAAAAGGTTGATTTAGTGTCAAATGTTTGAGTTAATACAAAAAAGATTTATCCTCATAACATCCCTGCTGTGAGCAGTTATTCCATCTTCACACTTACAGTATTTCACTCAGTCATTCACAAAGACCTCTCTTCTGTCAACACCGATTTGACATGCTGAGTCAGCCAACATCCCAATGGCTAAATCCCTGCTGCCACACCAACACCCCAGAGACAGTCAGTGACAGTCACACAGCCAACCATGTGTTCCTGTGCTGCAGAAATCTGCAGGAGTTTCCACAAAGTATGACAAAGAAACATCAGTGAATGACAACCACTTCACGTGACTATATCAAGGTGAAAACAGTGACTATATCAGGCCAATCACAAGCCCACACACACAGCACACATACATTTACACACAGTCACACACAAATTGCCATTAGACCTTCATAATTTACAAACAATGACCAAAAATGATGAAGAAATCTCTATTCCAGTATGAAGTAGTTTTTCATACTGTATGGAGTTTTTTTTCCCACACATTCAGATAAATGTTATAGATAATAAACAAGTGTAATGACTCCATTATTTTTCGCTTTTCTCAACATCAAAAACATCAACAAAATATGTCCTTAAATGACCATTTTGCCGCAAAGACTCAGTAACTTTTTAAAGGAACTTTCTCAAGCACTAGCCTTAGGTTGACTGTGCTTGAGAAAGTTCCTTTGTCCTAAGGCTGACAGTCAGGGCAGATGAGTGTGGACAGCACTACTACCAAACAGAAAAGATTTAAATCTCATTTCACAGAGAACTGCCACTAAGGGCTTCCAGATATTTTCTGACCCCAGCCTCAGCAAACAGTGTTTTTTTAAGGATCACAACAGCCACAGTGGTGAACAAAGAGAGAAAAACATGAAATGATTTGACCATCTGAAAACAATTTCCAATGAACAGAGGGAACACAGGGGTGGAAACATTCAGCCACTTCATTGCTGGAGGCAGCTATGAGTGACTTCTGTATCAACTCCAGAATTATCTTTTTATGCTATTTTTTGGAAGCATTTGTGACCATTCCTGAGGGCAGAAGGCACAACTGAAGAGTAATGAAGGTACCAGCTGAGAAGCTCAAGTGAAAATCAACATTTAAAATCCACATTTCTGTATTGTGGTTGGCCAGTATCATTTAATTTTCAACCTCAGGCCACGTTTGCATTATATACACAGTCTTTCCAGCCCCATACACTGTCATGGACTGCTCACCCTCACCCTCATCACCATTAGATTAAATAATCCAGTTTGATGAGGACACTACTTTACTCTGTCATCACTAATAATGATGGGACTGCACACAGGAGGGATTTTAACTACTCACAGCATGGTGGAATGACAACAAGCTGGTTCTTAAATAGAGCTGCTAGATTTTTTTTATTCTATTTTTTATTTTATTTTAACCATTTGACAGCATATAAAAACAGTAAGGGCATTACATACAGGTCTTAATATGTTTTCCAGACTTGTTTCACATCATCTCCCCAACTCTCTCCTCTAGTGTGAGCGTCACGTCTGATGCCCAGACTGAGTGTCAGAGCACGGATGAAGGTGCACGTGCTGTAGAACTCACGTGCAGCTCAGTATCAGACAGAGGCTGATGCTGCCTTCAAGAGAGTCATCACAGACTAAAAATAGTGAACCCATCGGGGTGGGGGGTGGGGGGGGGGGTAGAAGAGCTGGAGAGGCTGTAATAGAAAGCAATAGAAAACGTGTGGTTATTTTGAGCCCACTCCTCCTGTGTGCTGCATTCTAAGCAGGTGGTACGTCTTCCCCTGTGAAAATCCCTTCTGTCTATTTTTATTTGTTTGTTTATTTTTAGCTTGGTGCATTGTTGCTGGCTTTTACTTCACCAGTTAAAGTGTTCAGTCACATCATGACTCAGACACTAAGGTAGAATCCTAACACCCACACACACAAACACACACACACACGCAGAGCATTGTCACCAGATGCTGAATTAAAAGTAGTCTCTGAAGTGAAGTTTCGAAAAACATTAAAGCATAGAAATTCTTCCAAGTCCCCTGGAAATAAGAGGTTAAAGGTTACCTTAATAGACACCGCAGACAGACATCACTGCTACCATGGCAACATGAGGAGCTGCGTGGTCTACATCACGTGCAGGAACCCAGGCCATTCATAATCTACTTCATTCATTTTATCGTTTATCACTAATGTCATCAATCATTCATTTCCTCACTGCACAATCATTTTCCCACAACTCATTGAGGCGTTGGCTGCAGTTACACTGAGTGACCACGTAAAACAAAGGTCAGTGAATATGAAATGAACTATTCCCTCAGAACGTCACAGGTTATCGACAGCTACACGTCCAGTACACAGATACAGAGCCACTGGTTGTCACAGCCCAAAGTTACATGGTCTAAAGCCATAAAAAGCAATTATTTCTATTATTGATGAATCAAAGCAAAATATTTTTAAAAAACACTCAGTGACTAGAAAAGGATAAAAAATGTCAGTCTGTTCCAAACCATCGAATGCAATCTCTTAGTTTAATCCTTAAACTTATGGTAATTATTAGAGCCACAGCCAACGAGACGACACACAAGCTGCCTCCAACTGACAGGGAGACATTATTGTACTCAAGTACAAAAAAGTAGCTCTAAAGTATGAACAGGATTGCTCAGCTCCGTGGGCTGTTCTCACTTGGAATAGAACATCTGCCTTATTGTGACGTCTGACTAAAATACTCCACAGACGGGGGAAAAAATCTCAGACTGTGGGGGTTGTATATGAAAACAAAAATGGAACTACACTCAGTCCTGCCGTCCATTTTTTCCCCAACTAGTCAGGAGCCCTAAGGATAACCACGAACTACAAAAATGATAAACCATCTTAAACTACTTTTCTGACCAATGCCAGAGTTTCCAACTGTCTAACTGATTTTGAAGAATGTATTATGTGACATAAATGTCCATTAAGCATTAAGTACTGAGATCAAGGATATAACCTATATGGTTAGAAATGTAATGTGTTAGACATTTACAATATCTTGAAAACTAAGGACAATAAGACAAAAGTCAGTTTCATTCCAAGGTATAACTCCATATGATACTTCCTTTTAAAAGTAGCATCCAAATAAACACGAAACAAAGCCACAGCAGCGGCAGCCAGAAGGGAAATAACGGTATACAGTAGATACATATATACAGTACAGACATATATACAGTACAGACATATATTACGCAAAGCGTGAAAGATACAATAAACAAGCAGAAGCAATAATATAAGTGTACAATCATTTAACATTATTTGATCCTCTTTTTAATGTTCAGGTATGGTAAATAAATGTATTTACTATGTATTTCAAAATAATAAATAAATAAATAAATAAGCATGAATTAGCGGCATGTATTAATTTATTGTTGTATATGCAGCGCCATTTACCACAGTCGATTGAAAAAAATATATATATATACAAAACATACTTTCGTACTTACATAAATGCAGCCGACGTCGACGCATTTAACTCCAGGAAGAAATCCTGGAGCTAAACAATTTATTTAATAATACTTTTCACTTTAGTCTTAATTTTTCCAACTTTAGTGTCTCCAGGTGGGCCATCTGCTCGAATGTTATAACGTTGCACGCGGATATAAAACAAAATCCAAAAAGTTCATTATTCTGTCAATCAACTGCAGATGGGTTCCTGAATCCAGCACCTGCGGCTGTGACACATTTAAGGACCTGCAGGAAAACTCAGTACAAGTTAATTTAACAGAAAGTTCCGATGGAAATGTCATTAACATATAAACAGTGGCATCAC